GAGGGGAGTGAGTGAGGAGAAGTAAGATTTGTACAGTGTGTGCGTGGTGGGTAGCAGCTGAGGAGGGTCGCTATGGAGGCCAGGGTGGGCACTGGGGACACTGTCTTCTCTGGCACAGCCTCCAAAGACATCAGCCTCCAAAGCCAGCCCAGCAGGCTGTAGGCTCTGGGGAGCCTCTGGAGACTCAGGGGCGGGGGGGGGGGGGGTTGCAGATGCAGCACCCTCTGGTGAGATACCCAAGGAAGGGCATTTCAGAGGGTGGGAACAGCATCTGCAAAAGTCCAGAGGCAAAAAACAAAAAAAAAGAGCTAGATCAGCTGGAAGCTAGCAGAGGCTAATGTGGATAAAAGCCAAGGTCTGAGTGGGATGCATTCACCACTGGGCTGGAGGATCCAACTTATGCCTTCCTGGGTAAGAGCATAAAGGCTCTGCAGTTGGGACTCCAACTGCTGGGTTCACATCCAGTTCTCACTAGCTATACATTCATGCTATGAATGATTTTACATCTTTCTGGCTCTTCCTTTTCTCATCTGTAAGATGGGATTGTTGTGAGGATTAACCCAAATATGCAGGGATTTAATAAACTCTCAATAGGCACAACCCTGTATCTCGATCATTATCATTCATATCAGGACCAGCCCCACGGTGGGAAGACAAAGGTGGAGTACAACTTCACAAAGGAGGAATCTCATTTTTGCAAAAGTAAAAGCAAGTTGCAGCCTGTGCTTCTCTGCAATCTCCACACTCACAGAGATGTGTGAATTCCATCTGCAACTATTTTCTCAGAGTGTCATCCTGTCCCACATCAAATGTCGGATGCTGGGGGCTGCAGGGACGATAAGAGTGATAGGGCATCTAGCAGCAGGCAGAGGCAGTGATTGGGCGCAAGGGCAAGAAAGAGGACATTCAGTCTCTGGATGATGGTGACACTTCAGCGATTGGAAGCAATACCACCTGCCACAATCAAAATGAAAGACAGAGCGGGACGCTGGTGGTGCACACCTGTGATCCTAGCTACGCAGGAGGCTGAGATCTGAGGATCGATGTTTGGAACCAACCCAAGCAGAAATGTATGTCTAATTAAGAAGCAAACTGCCAAATTGGAGGTATGGCTTAAGGGGGTAGAGTCCTAGCCATGAGCAAAGATGCTAAACAAGAGTGTAAGGCTCTGAGTTCAAACCTGGGTATACACACACACACACACACACAAAACAGATGAAAGGCAGAATCAGTTTTTCTGGAGTGAATGCTCTGAGAAGAGTCAAGCCATAAGACAAATTTATGAGACCCTTGTCTCCGATTAGGCAGCAAAATGCCAGAAGTGAAGGTGTGGCTTAAGTAATAGAGTGCCAGCTGTGGGAAGAAAAGCTGAGCTACAGCATGAAGCTCTGAATTCAAGCCCCAGTACTGACACACACAAAAAAAGAAAAAACCTCATACATTTCTAGGGTTATAAATGAATCTTTTAGCATCTGAATTAAGCTTGGGCATTAATAGGAACAAACCATGAGACATTGCACCAATGGGTCACACAAGTGAACCAGAACCAAGAAGGCTATACTATAAATGATTTCAAATCCTACCTCTGGGCTGGGAGCAGTGGCTCATAACTGTAATTCTAGCTACTTGGGAGCTGGAGATCAGGAGGATTGTGGTTTAATGCCAGCACAAAAGTTTGCAAGACACCCATTTCAACCAATAAAAAGTTGAGCATAGTGTCACATACCTATCATCCCACGTATACAGAAATCATAAATAGGAAGATTGCTGTCCAGGCCAGTTAAGCAAAAACATGAGACTGGGCAAAACTAAGGAGAACAACAAAGGGATTGGGAATGGCTCAACTGGTAGATCACCTGCCTAGCAAGGGCAAGGCTCTGAATTCAACCCCAAGTATCATATAACAGTAGTAACAACAATAACAAAGCAAAAGTGTATACAACATTGACCTCAGACAGGCTACTTCTCTAGCTTTGGGTTTCTTTCTGTATGGGATGATAAATAAACCCACTTAAAGGTCTCATGCTTCAATGAGACAATGAATATAAATGTTTGCACAGTGCCGGCAGCTTGGAACCTCAAAACCAGCAGCCACCAGTACAGACCCCATGTTCTGCTCCTCTTTTTTAATGATTAATTTGACTAATCAAAGGAAAGGATGAAAGGCAGGGGCTCCCTGCCCAGTAGTCTCAAAGAGATTACTCCAAGTCTTCTCCTCTTAAGCAATGACAGGTGGGTACCCAGGCATTTGGCACAGAAGTTCCTCACTCTAAGTGGAGAACAAGTTGAGCTTTGACCTCAGTTGTGAGGACAGGAAGAGTCAACATGAAGTCCCACAGGCCCCCACTACCCTGAGAAACTCATGGTGGCATGGTCTCAGTGTCGGTAGAGAACCAGGTCCACCATTTTCCTTCTGTTGGAAATTCCAAAGCTTGAAGTTTAAAAGAAGAAGAAGGAAAGAAAAAAACCCAACACACACACAAAGAAATGTTTTCTGCAGCTGTTTTGGCAGTTGGGGAGTCATTTACCAACTTCAAGCTCAACTTAATGAAGTTGGGGTAGGCGGTTTCCAGGGAGTTATGCTTCCCAGCAATCTCGGCTGCCCAACCGGCAAAGAGGGCTGCCAGGGTGGTCGGTGGGGAGCAGTAACAGTAACACGTTTTGTATTTGTCATCAGAATAGCGCCCCCGGGCACAGGGGTGGTGCCCATGGCCGCTCAATGGTGTATTTGTCATATGGCCAGTGACACAATCAATCGACCCTCTTACACACCGGTGTTTATTAGCCATTGTATAAATATTTCACCCCTCCCCGACTGACACATAATCTCTTCTTTGCTGCCTCTGACAAATGAACATTTCTCTGTAGACTCTTAAATGAATATGTGTCACAGCTATGTCACTGATTAATTTTTTTTTACCACCACGAACAACGATGCATAGAAATGTAACTTATATTCATTTCCCGGCTTGAGCCCAGCTGTCTAAAAAAATTCCACCAGCAGCTACAACTGACAGACAGCTATCCCAATGCCTGGGCCTGCTGACGTGTGGTTGTGTGAGTGCCAGCTTGTTAATTACTGGCTTTCTCTTCCGGCCTGGCTGCTGAGTAGCCAGCCACAAGGACCTTAATCACTACTGGGGCCAGGTGGGACTTGCTATCAGAGGCTCCTCCAGGGGCCATCTCCCCAGCCCAGCCTAACCTCACTTTTTTCTTTCTCTCTCTAAGCCATCAGCTACCTTTTTCTATGGGTCTTGATTTGAAGATGTCCCTGAAGTCACCTCTGTAACACTCTTAGCCACTTTAGACCCTTTACCTACTGCTCTGTGCGATCTTGGGCATAGAGACTGTTGGCCAAGCCCAGGTGGGTGTGTTCTAAATATTTGTGGACAGGAAATCAGCCAAGTGCAACTGTTGAGCAATGTTCCGGCCACCTGATACCTAGTATTCCTGGTTTCAGTGAGTATTCTTGGAGCACTTACTATGTGCTAGGTGCTCAGCTGATGAGCAAGACAGACAAGCCTACATAGACTTAGTCCAAATGAAAAGGTGCCCATCTCTTGGAAGATTAAAAAAAAAAAAGATGCCTGGGGTTGGAATGGAGGGGAAGCTGGCTCTTAGAGCCTTCTGTTTAAGGCCCCTCCTGGCCCCAAGGATGATTAAGGTCTTTGTGGCTGGTTACTTGGGTTTAGGTTCAGTAAAGGATACCCAGGCTCTGGGGAATAGGCATTGATTATTTCCTAGTCACAGCTATGAACACTAAACTAACTTGCTTTTGTATTACCACAGCATGTTTGAGTGGGGGAGTTGGAATAAAAGCCCATGCCCTCTTACCCCAGAGCCTGCCCATCTAATCATTCTCAGTCAATCACCCTAACTCTCTTGCCTGCCTCCTCCACTACAGAGCTCCTTCCCTTTTCTCATTCTTCTCCTTCACACTTTCCAGTTCCAGGCAAGTTCTTGAGTCACCTTGGGCTGCAGAGCTAATTCAGCATCCCTGCCCCCACCTCAACCCAGTCCATCTGCTGCTCCCCTTCTCTGCCCACCCACCCACTGGCACTGGACTGAACTTTCAGCAGGTGTCTAGGCTACCCCTACCCCCCTTCACCTCCATCCACCTGTGTCCCCTGCACCTGTGTCCTTTCCCTGATGTCATAGAACCCTGGGCTGGGAGCCAAGTTCATATACCTGGGGACACTTCCAGTAGATTAACTAGCTCATACCAGCTCTACTATGCCCCACAGACTCGCCAGAGACTAACCTGAGAAACGGGGACCCCCCCCAACTGCTCTATGGGTAGGACAATCTCAGGCAGTTTTGAAGGCAGGGGATGCATACCCCAGGGACTTGATACTCCCTGATGTGTGTCCAGCAAGCTCTAATGAACCAGTCAAACTTGTTGAGGGCTGCAGAAAGGCAGAGCGCACAGAAAGGGAGTGGATCAGAGTCCCAGTGGCTCTACTTACCAACTGTGCATCCTGGACAAGCAAGCCACTCTGCTTCTCTTTGTCTTGTACTCTGGGGACAGTAAGACCTATATCCCAGAGCTGTCGGAAGGTTAAAAAGAGTGCACCTGGGTGGCTCCCAGCCCAGCACCTGGCTGTGCACAGTAAACAAGAATGTCCTTCCTTCCCCTTGGGAAGGCAGCAACTGGATCATCTCCTAGTCAGAGAAGAAAAGCAAGACAACACACACGCCTGTTGATATCCTACAGGTGGCTCTGAACCCCAAAGTGTGTGATGTAGGGGGAGGAGCAGCTTCAAGGAAGGAGGGGAAAGCACTGAGCGTGGGTTGCCCAGAGCACATGCTCTCTCCTCCAATCAGCGTCATTCAAAACCATGCAGCCGGAGTGAACTGCATATGGATGTGCATTATGTCATTGAAAAGCCACAAAACTCCCATGAGCTCCATGTGACTGCTAAAGAAATTGAGGCCTGAAGAGGTTAAAGCAACTGCAAAAGGTCACACTGAGACAGAGACTTGCACCAGGTCTCTCCCTCCCAAGACAGGGCTCTCAATGACCACCCTCTGCTGTCTCCCTCAAATCTCCTCCTCCCCACCCCTCACATTCACCCAGGGCATCCTCCAGGGAGCAAGCCCACTTGCCCTGTGATGTCACCCAGAGCCTGACGTCAAGGCTGATGGGCCTCAGTGAATGAGGGCTGGGAAGAAGCTCAGATGACACAGACCTGGGTGGGTACCAGGAAGACTGTAAGCCTGGGGCAGGGAAGGGGGGGCGGCACAGGGAAGGCAACGCAAGAAAGGGACTCACAGGACTGGCCCTTCAGCTGGCAGTGAGCAGTGCTATCCTCTGTACATTTCCTTGTTGGAAATGGAGCACTGAGCCCCGGAAATCAGGACAAAAGCACCACCCACAGCTCTGGTCTCGATGACTCAGATTCCACCTCCCACAGACTCCTCCTGTGTGTGTTTCTGAATGTGTGTACCACGCGTGCGCCCCACCAGCTTGTGAGACTGTCGGCTGTGATATGTATGTGTGTGCGTGTGTGTGTGTGCAAGTGTGTGTGTGTGTGCACGCACATGCATGTGCCTGAGCTGTGGCCATCTGCATATCTGTCTCCCAGCCAGAGTTCAGAGCTTAGGATGATCAACAAGGTCAAAGATAAGCATAGGATCAGCAGTCACTTGTTCTGAGGCTCTGTGCTGAGCAAAATCTTTACAGCATTGGATTGTACACCTTGATCTGGTGAGTACTATTGTTAATCCTATTGTATTGATGATGAAACAGATTCAGAGATGTTAAACTTCTTTCCAAAGTCACACAGCCAAGAAATGTTGAAATTATCAGATGTCAAAGTTTGTGCCTAGTCAGGTGCCTGTGGCCACCTCTAATCCTAGCCACTCAGGAGACTGAGAACTGAGGATCACAGTTCAAAATCAACCTGAGCAAAAATGTCCCCATGAGATTCTCCAATTAACCTCTCAAAACCTGGAAGTAATGCTGTGGCTCAAAGTGGTAGAGTGCTAGCCTTGAGCAAAAGAGCTCAGGGGCATCATCCCAGGCCCTGAGTTCAAGATGGACACCAACAACAATAAAAAGTCTGCCTAATAAAATGTTCTTTCTTTCTACCCCACCCCGACCCCCAAGGAGAGAAGACCTAAGGGATCTTGACATAACCAGAAGCCACTCTGGGTGTCTGAAGGAAGTGGGGGTGGGGGGGGTGGGAAACAAGTCAGAGGGGAAGGGGGACAAATAGCAGATAGACATAGGAACAGGAGGGGGCAGGGCCGCTGTCTCCGAACAGGTGTCAGAGAAGCAGTGACAGCCACTTAGAACCACAGTGGCAAGCCTCCTTTACATGGCGATTTGCATATATTTGCATGCATTTGCATCACCAAATCTGTGGAAACGGCCTTAATGGTCCCTGCCTCAGAAGACTGGCAGAAACTGAGAGGGTGGGAGTTGACAGGGAGGGCCTGGGGAATTCAGAAAGGGAAGGAGGGAAGAGCGTGCAGGGAAGGCCTTGGGAGGCTCCGGCCCTGTCAAGACAATTTGTAGGGGATAGAAGAGTCTCTCCCAAGAGCCTTGAGAAGCTTAACCATTCCAAGTCCTTCTCCTGAGGGTAGTAAGGAAAAGCAATGAAGAAACTGAAATCGGGAAGAGATGAGGAGAGTTGGGGACCCTGGCCAGTGGAGGACACAAAGGACCTCGCGCGGTGTCTGGAGGCTGGGAGGCTGCCGTAGGTCAGTGGCTCGGTGTTAGGGCGCCATCTCGTGGATATTTGCTGAAATGCTTCCTCTTGGTCGCAGACCTTTCTGCATCTTCTTGGGCAAAACACGTGTCCTTGTCGCCTGTGCCGCCCAGCAAGTGCGCGTTGAAACCCAGTCCAAAACCATGAGTCTCCATGGACCTAAGGACCTGCGATTGTCCAGAAAATCACTAGCAGGGAGATGCCCATGGGGTTCAGGCCAGGCTAAGGTGAATGGGTTCTGTCAGCTTAATGGTGATGTCAGAAAACATGGCTGTGTCCGTTCTAATGCTGTGTCCTCAGCAAACTGACCTCTGAAACAGTTTCCTCATCTATGAAATGGGGATGACAACATTTTTGTGAGACTACAGGATGAAATACATCTTACAAGCGTATTGCAATAGATGGAATGAAATACAAAAGATGAGATGAAGTGCTCAATTGAGACTCTCATGCATGAGCATGACCTTGAAATTTCCTTGAAATGTGTGCCTTACACCTCTTCACCCATATGCCTACCCCAGCTTGTTAGCACAATGCTTGGCACAGGAGACTTAACAAGCAGGATCTGTGGTGACCATCAGGTGCTAGGCCTTGGGGAAGCAGCACTCAGCCCCACTCCCATGTAGGTGAGGGTCCCCTTTCCAGGGAGTCAGAAATAAAGTAGAAATCACAGGCAGTTACAAGTGGAAGGATATTGAGCCCTAAACTTTTCAGAATCTTTTCAGATTCTCTGTGACCACCTGAGGGTTAAGGAAGGGATTCAGACCTGGTTCATAGAGGGTCAGTGTACTAGCTTGGAAGATTTGGAGGGGGACTTTTGCCATATTAGGCCATCTTGGGGCAATTCTAAAGGGTGATGATGAAGGGGAGTTCAGTGTGCACACTTGGGAGCAGTGTGCCTGGGAATCAGGTTTGTCAGCATAGAAGTGGCCAGCAGTGTGACTGTCCCTACATAGAGAAATTACAAGTCCTGGAATTCAAGTGGAAGTGGAGATGATGCATCTCACACTCACACTTGCAGAATATTTGCTTTCTGTCCTTCAAACTGCAGGTTCTGACTGTTAGAGGTTCTAGTTTCCAGGAAGGGAAACATACACTAAGGGTTATAGTAAACTTTCCACTAAGCTGGAAACTGGAAGGATTACCTAGATGTCTTAAGTTTGCCATGCTGGTGGACCAATAGAGGACATTACTATACTGACCAGGATCATTGGTTCTGATAGCCTGAAGAAGCCAGAGCTGCAGTAGGTACACACGCGCGCGTGAGCATGTGCACACACACACACACGCACACACAGGCTCATGCAAACTATGGGGATTTGAACTCAGGCTTGATGCCTGCTAGACATGTACTCAACCACTTGACCCTTGCCCCCAGCTCCCTTTGATTTAGGCTATTTTTCAGATACGGTTTTGTATTTTTGCCCTGGGCTGGCCTCAGACCGAAATCCAATCACCTAATACCTCCAGTGTAGCTAGGATGGCATGCTTGGATTCTTGGTTGAGAAGAGGTCTTGCTAATTTTTTTCCCCTAGGCTTGTCTCAAACCACAATCCTCCCAATCTCTACTTCCTGAGTAGCTGAAATTATAGGCACTCGCCAACATACTCAGTTAAGAATGACCATTCTAAAGGGGAAAGGTGATCAAGAGATCAGACCTTCTTGGCAGAATCATCTATGTAACTTCACTGGCAATACCCTGGTTCTGCAAAGGGACAGCTGAGGGTGAGGGAAGGAGGGAGAAGGTAGCAGCCACACAGGCAACTGGTGACTCAAGCTGGCCCTTTTCCCCCCTGAGATCACATCCTGCACAAAAGAACCTATTGACCCACGATTGTGCCTCCTCTCTTAAGAGGGATGAAAATGTTGTTCATTGGAGAAAATGAGAAAGGGCAAATTATGGTGTAGAGGTCAGATATAATGAGAGGGGAACCAGGGGACTCTGGTATGAGAAGGCATGGCAGTGATTTAACCTTTCTTCTTAAATCCCTCGACTGCCTCCTTGCTCTCTCTGAGGTACTCCTGCACTTTCAGGCTTGGATAAATGCCACATGGCATTGAGGAGAATTTGGTTGCCAAGTGCTACCTTGTAGCAGACAACAAAGCCCAGAAGCATGGCAGGCTCATTCTGTGGGTGCACTTTGACCTGCAGAAGAAAGATGGAGGGTGGGTGGGAGCTGTGGACCACCCAAAGATGCTCCTCCTCCTCCCCTCCTGGAAGTTCCAATCTCAGGCAGCCTGTGGTGTCACTGTGTGGCTCCTGTGCAGCTGTGGTTAGAACATCAAAGCATGGTGCCACCCTGCCTTGGATCTTCCCTGCTCATCCTCAGAAACCTGAGCCTCCACTCAACAGTCTCTGCTTCTAGAAGACAAAGGGAGGGCTATCTTCTCCTTTGGGTCCTCCATTGTGGTCACTGGAGGAACTGAGTCTGACTACTCCAGCCAGGGTCTATAATCCTAGCTCCTCAGGAGGCTGAGACCTGAACATCAAGGTTCAAAGCCAGCCCAGGCAGAAACATTGGCGAGACTCTTATCTCCAATTAAAAAGTTGGAAGTGGAGGTGTGAATCAAGTAGCAGAGTACCAAACTTGAACAAAAAAGGCCAAGTGAGGCGCTGAGTTCAAGCCTTAGTACCAGCATACACTCATACAACCCAAAAGAAAGAAATAAAGAGCCCAGTGGGCAGGAACCATCTGACTACTTTTCAGAAAAGAAAGGGGCTGACACAGAGATAAGGAAGGAGGGAGTAGATAGGACAAGAAAGGGGTCAGGAAGTTTAGTCCCAGAGAGAGAGCTGTCCCCTGTAAATGGGCTGTGTTTTGGAGATGAGGTTGATCTCTGGACCTGTAGTGTTTATGCACTGGGGCATGGGAAGTAGCCAGAGGGTGGGAGACTGTTTTTAGTCTATATGTGCTGCTATAACAAAAGTAACAACCCCAGATGAGCTAATACAAAAGCAACAGAAATCTTGTACTCACAGTACAGATGCTGAGAAGTCTAAGATCAAAGCACTGTCAAGTTTGGTATCTACTGAAGGCTGTTTTGTGCTTCAAAGTGGTGTCAAATTCATACTTAAGAAATACTAACTCAAGTGAGGAAAAGAGTGACGTTGTCCACAAAGGACTTTTTACCTGACTTATATAACTGTAATCCCTCTGTATAGCACCTTTATAGTAACAATTAAATTTGTTTTTAAATCAAAAACTGGAAGAAAGAAAGAAAGGAAGGAAGGAAGGAAGGAAGGAAGGTAGGAAGGAAGGAAGGAAGGAAGAAAGAAAGAAAGAAAGAAAGACCCAGCTGGGCACCTGTGGCTCACACCTATAATTCTAGCTACTCAAGAGCTCAAGAGGCTGAGATCTAAGGACTGTGGTTCAAAGCCAGTGTGGGCAGGAAAGTCTGTGAGACCTATCTCCCATTAATCACCACACACACAAAAAGCTGGAAGTGGACCTGTAGGTCAAGTGGAAGGGTGCCAGCTTTGAGCAAAAAAGCTCGGGGACAGTGCCCAGTACCCTGAGTTTAAGCCCTAGGACAGGCACCAAAATAGAAGAAGGAGGAGGAAGAGGAGGAGAAAGAGGAAGAGGAGGAGGAGGAGGAGGAGGAGGAGGAGGAGGAGGAGGAGGAGGAGGAGGAGGAGGAGGAAGACAACAACTAACCTATCTCATCTCATAAAGACCTCACTCCCTAATATGATTGCACTGGGAGTTAAGTTTCAACTTGAATTTTGGAGACAGTGTAATCCTTCAGGTCATAGACTAGAAAGGGAATGGCACCCCAGCCTCAGGTCCTTTGCATTTCATGATTTTCATTTGCCTAGTATGCTTTCTCACCTACTCTCACTTACTGCTATCATTCTGACACTTCAACTTAAGGAGAACTTTTTAGAGAAGCCTTCCCAGATGCGACAAGCTGCCTTTACTATATATCATTACAGAGTAGCTCTTCTGAAGATGCATCTCAGTTTGTAATAACACATTCATTTGGGGATTCCTTCATAAATGCCCCCTTGCATCAAACTGTTCATACTCTGCTGTATAGTCATATTTCTAACCCCTTGAGCAGAAGTTGACAAGAAGAGATGCTCAAAAAATAGAAGACAGGGCTGGAGACATGGCTCAAGTGGTAGAGTGCCAGCAGGCACTCAGGGAAGCTCAAGAACAGCACCCAGACCCTGAATTCAAGTCCCAGAACCAGCACACAAGAAAAGAGAAGTAACAAAAGAAAACTGCTAAGAAATCTTGGAAAATAGTAGGAATAGCAGAAGATATGCAATATGCTCTAACTGGGCCATAAGATGCCACAGGCTGATTGATTAAAACAGGTAATCGGATATGCCAGGCTGATGGGGTAGTAAAAAAGCTGGATATATCCCAGAGTTGCCATGGAAGTGACTGGTAAAAATAGTAACAAGAACAGGAAATACATGCTGAGCCCTTGTGGAAAGGGCGTCAGCCCTTTTCCACATATTACCCAGATATTCCCATGGATTCATCTTCACAACAAGCCTGTCAGCATTTCCATTTTGCAGAAAAAGAAAGAGAGGTACGCAGGCCTAAATACCCTGCTCAGCTCACACAGCTCGTGCAGATAGAGTCAGGGTTTACTGTACAACTTTGCTCTTAATTGCTATACAGCTTCCCTTTTAGTGGCCAAGTGGTTTGGTGGCCAAAGTGGTATTCAAAGCAACTGTGGCTGCTGTAGTCTATTTACTATTTGGGTGGGAGATGGGAGATGTGGAAGGAGATACTGGAGAATTCCTTTCTGCTGATTCTGCCACTCCCTCTGCTGATTAGTGTGTTCTGTTCTATATATAATGAATCTGCAAATCAGGCAGGTTTACAATATTGAGAGAAGGTCAAGCTCCAGAAATCAGCCTCCCTTTCCCTAGCCCACTGAACTGCCTTGTGCCCATCGACAACAGACCAGGATGACATCCACTGCAGGCCTGCTCCATGCCAGGCTTGAGTCCCTGGGCCCTTACCAGAGAAAAAGCAATGCTGCAAGTACAGTATATGGATGGAAGCTAAATGAACTGAACAGAAGCTCCATGGAGAAGAGTCCGGGGAAGACACTGCTGTATTCATATTCAGATGCACAGAGACTTTAGTATAGCCGCTGCAGCGGGGGTCTCCACCAGCTGCTTTCACCCTCATTCATCCCTGCGTGACCTGTTTCTGCCCTTACAAAGGCTAAGAACATGAACATGGAGAAGTGGCTCATGCCTTGCAGGCCAGAGGCTGAAGCTCCATCGCATGCCTCTTCAAGTTCCCAGTGACCCTAATATCAAAGGGTTCTCTTTGCCTTGCTGTGCTTAGGCTGCAACGATTCCCTTTGAATCTGTTCAATCACATCAGCCAGAGATTATGGGAAGGAACAGAGAGAGATGCACAGACAGAAACAGACAGAAGATGGAGAGATAAACACACAGAAAACCACAGATTCAGAGAAAGGAAAGACAGAAATGCACTCAGAGGAAGACAGAGAAAAAGAAAGAGACAGAAGGGGAGACAAGGAAATAAATATAAAGATAAAAGAAAGGGGGGGGGAAAAGCTGGGTACCGGTAGCTCACACCTGTAACCATAGCTACTCAGGAGGCTGAGATCTGAGGATTGTGGTTCAAAGCCAGCCCAGGCAGGAAAGTCCATGGGACTCTTATCTCCAATAAACCACTCAGAAAACTGGAAGTGGTGCAGTGGCTCAAGTGGTAGAGCTCTAGCCTTGAGCTGAAGAGCTGAGGGACTGCGTTCAGTCCTAGAGTTCAAGGCCCATGACCAACAAAAAGAAGGAGGAGGAGGAGGAGGAGGAGGAGGGAAAAAAAACTGGGTGCCAGTGGCTCATACCTGTCATCCTAGCTACTCAGGAGGCTGAGATCTGAGGATGGTGCTTTGAAGCCAACCCAGGCACTTATCCCCAATTAACCACTCAAAAACTGAAATTGGTGCTGTGGCTCACATGGTAGAGAGATAGCCTTGAGCACAAAGAGGCTCAGGGACAGCACTCAGGCCCTAAGTTCAAATCTACACTAATGGAAGAAAGGAAGGAAGAAAAGAAGAAGGAAGAAAAGAAGGAAGGAGAGGTCTCTGTACAGCATTTTTACAATTAAAAAATGTACAAAAAAAGAAGTAGGAGAGAAGAGATAAGAGAAGAGAAGAGGGAAGGAAAGGGAAGGGAGAAGAGGGGAAAAGAAGGGAGAAGGGAAGAGAGGAAAAGGGATGAGACTTAAAAGGGAAAAGGAGCTGGGCTACCCAAGGGGCTGAAATGTGAGGCTCAAAGCCAGCCCAGGCTGGAAAATGTGAGATTCTTATCTCTAATTAATCACCAAAAAAGTAAAAAACGGAGCGGTGGCTCAAATGGTAGAGCACTAGCCTTGAACACAAAAGCTCCAGGACAGTGCCCAGGTCCTGAGTTCAAGCCCTAGGACTGGCACACACACAAACAAAAAGGGCAGGGGGAAGCCAGAAAGAGACAGAGAGATAGAGAGACAGAGACAGAGAGACAAAGACAGAGACAGAGGCAGGGGGAGAGGGAGAGGGAGAAGGAGAGAGAGAGAGAGAGAGAGATACAACGCAAGAACAGTAGCCTCCACCCACCCCATCTTGTTGATCCAGAGAAGTATGGCCTGAAGGAGGAAGTTGGGTCTCCTTTTTTGAGTGTTGGCCCTGAACTTCTGGCCCAGTCTCCTTAACTTAAGAGTCATGGAACTTAGATTGGAAAAAAATTATGTTATTCTAATTAATCTCTACCTGAAATTTACTATTTCCTTCTATTATAACTACATAAACAAGTCAGTCATATTAGCTATAAATGGTTCTGATACCAGTAGAGATCACATATATTTTCCTCTTATAATACAATTTCACAGATCTTTTGAACTATCATTTGCATTCATCATTACTTGAAAATTATATGAGGTATCAACCTAACACGACATCTTATTTAAAGCATTAATAAAAAGGCACATACATTACTATACTACATTAAAATAATTTTATAATTTTATTGCGATACAATTGGTTTCCTTTATAATACTATATATCTCATTTTATGTACTTTGAAACATTATTGTGAGACAAGGTCCATGTGCTTTATTTGATTGCCAAAGGGAATACAGAGCAAAAAGATAATCAGAAATCTTACATGTGTTCACCATCCACTCCCTGAGCCCATCTCCTCAGACCCTGTGCCCTGGGTTTTCTTTTCTTTTTTTTTGTTGGTCATGCAGCTTGAACTCTGGGCCTGAACGCTGTCCCTCAGCTCTTCAGCTCAAGGCTAGCGCTCTACCACTTGAGCCACTGCATCACTTCCAGTTTTCTGAGTGGTTTATTGGAGTTGAGTCTCATGGACTTTCTGTGCCCGGGTTGGCTTTGAACTACGATCCTCAGATCTCAGCCTCCTGAGTAGCTAGGATTACACGCGTGAGCCACCGGCATCCAGCCACCCTGGGTTTTCTTGTACTTCTCTTTTCTTGCTGGATTAGTTTAGATTCTCCAATAAGGAACAGCCAAATGCAGGATGATACATAAGGTGGAAATGCCTATGAGAGAAGGGGTCCTGGGGCTGAGAGAGCTGTGAGGGAGAAAGAGGGTTAAGAAAAGTTGGGAGGAAGCATCCTAGACCTCCATGCAATTGAAGGAAAGTTCCAGATCTCTGCTAAGTTCTATTATTGAGAGGGAGCAGCAAAGTGGAAGCCAGTCCTAGTGAAGAAATGGATGGGTTTCAGAGGGAAGCAATTGTGCTCTTGATTAATTTCAGCCCTTCAACCTGAAGATCTATGAGAAGTGCTGTCAATACCGCCACCATAGGTTGCCCAATCACTGCCTATGTGGAGAAGAGGCTCTGTGCTTATTCATCTTGCTCCAGGATCTTCTCCAGGGCTGTGGGTGGCTTGGAGAATTGGTTGGTCCTTTTCTAGTTGCAGGGCTTTGAGCAAGTTTTTGTTGTTGTTGTTGTCATCGTCATGGGGCTTGAACTCTGGACTTGGGCGCTGTCCCTACTTTCTTCAGCTCAAGGCTAGTGCTCTACTGCTTGAGCTACAGCCCTACTTTAGTTTTTTTAGTGGTTTATTGGAGATAAGATTCTCATGGACTTTTCTGCTCGGGCTGGCTTTGAACTGCAATCCTCAGATCTCAGCCTCCTGTATAGCTAGGATTCCAGGCAGGGGCCACCTGTGCCTGGCTTTGAGCAAGTTTTTATTTTGTTATGTTGATCCTGGGGCTTTATCTCAGGGCTTGGGTGCTGCCCCTGAGTTTGTTTGTTTTTTCTGAAGTCTTTGACCTCTATCACTTGAGCCCCAGCTCTACTTTTGGCACTTTTTTGTTGTTGTTATTGTTGGTTAATTGGGGATGAGTTCCATAGACTTTCCTGCCCATTACTGGCTTTGAATCAGGATCCTCAGATCTCAGACTCTTGAGTAGCTAGAATTACAGGCCTGAGCCACCAGCACCTGGCTTTAGTATGTTGTTTAATGTCCCCTTACCTGCAAAAATGGGGGGTAATGAAAGTCTCTAATAGGAATATTGTGACGAATATTTGAAGTTTGCTAAGCAAAGTTTGCACAGGGCTTGGGATATAGGCAGCTCTCAATAACTAGTAGCTATTGTGATTATTATTATTATTTCCCTGTAAGGAAGGCTGACGATGACAGTCCTTTCCTGAGCTAGGCAGTTAGTTGGAAGAGGTGAGAGCCACTTCCCCTGAGGCTGGGGTCTTCCCCGGCTACTGATAGTTCCTGTGTCTGCTGACTCACAGCCAACTTCCTCTTATACAAACAGGAAAACACAGCTGGCTGGTGGGGGGGCACCCCCCCCCCTAAACCCCACACAGCTAAGGTACTGGCCCTGCTTTGTGGAGGAAGTGACTTTGACTCTCGGAGGCCAGCCTCCAGTGTGTATGTATATGTGTGTGTGTGTGGGGGGGGGGGTTCTGCAAATGGAGGAGGGGAAATGAGCACTTTCTTCTCAGCCTTCTGGCAATGTTCAAGTGGGAAAGTAAGAGAAGAGGCTTGGTCCAAGAATGGAAAGGCTCTTTGTTTGGTCACTGAGGCCCCAGGGCGCCAGCCTCAACCCTACAATCCCTGGTTTGGGAGGGGGGAAAGGGGGTCATTGCTTTGCTGACCTTTATTCCTTGGAAGAAACCTAGATCGGGCCTTTGGGATGGTGGAAGCTGATGAGACGCCTCTGCTAGACCTTCGCCCCATGTGCCAAGGCTGCCCCCCATCCCTCAACTAGGTGTCCGGTCCAGCCACACTGCTGGGAGTGAGACAGAGCCCGACCCCTCATCCCCTGTGCAGCGCTCTTCCTTTCTCTGTTTGTACTTCTGTCCTATCTGTGGTCTGGTTCCTGTCTTTGTCCTGGGGCCTTGTCTCACTCTGGGACGGGGGCAGAGAGGGGGCAGAACCCAGATAAGTAGAGCAGTTGGGTAAGGGACCGAATCAGCAGAAGGTGAGCGCTTGCACAAGTGGCTCAGGCCCGCGGCCGGCCGTGGCGGGGGGGAGCAGTGGGGACCCAGGTAGGGGGAACCGGAGGGGCGGGGAGGAGCAGGGCGGGGCCGGGCCGTCGGGGGGAGGGCGGTGGGGAGGCGGGGACGGCGCTGGACTTCTGGCCTCGGACAGCTCTGCGGGTACCGGGAGCGGACCGCGGCGGCGGAGAGGTGAGGACCCCCGCCCCCCCCCCCCGGACCCCTACTTCCCAGACTCCACCCCATCACCTCCTCCGGGGGCCTTGGTGGGCTCCCCGGGCCCCTCTGCGCCCTCTACCTTCTCCTCCCCCTACCCTCCCCCTCCTCGCTGCGACCTGCCCCTCCCTCCTGTTGCCCAGCCTCTGCCACCTCCCCCGACCCCCTCCTTCGCCTGGCCCGCGCTGCCCCGCGTCGCCTGGCCCGCCCCCCCCTCCCCCGTCACTCTAGCGCTTCTTGCTTCCCAGACCCGTGCCCTCGGGCCCGGCCTGAGTCATCGGGGGAAACTGGGCCGTGACCATCCTCCAGGCCTGGCTGGGAGATGTCCCAGCCTGTGAGAAGCATGGGGACAGATGCCGGGACAAAGATGGAGCCCTGGTCAGGGACCTGGACCAGGAGTAACTTGGAGAGAGCAGTGCTGGCAGAGGCTGAAGGGACCTCCAGGGTCCAAGGAGTCCCGGGCCATAGATAAGAACTACTTAGAATGAGGACAGAGGCAAGGACACTCTTGCCAGGCGCAAAACAAAGCAGGACCAGGAGGGGGACAAAGGTGGATTTCGAGGTAGGGGTGGGGATGAAGTAGGGTAGAGGCTAAAACAAAGCTGAGAGAAAATTCCTGGGAGCAGAGATGGCCATGTCAGGGAACAGGGGAAGGGTCAGACTGACCCAATGGTGCTGCTGACAGGTAGAGACCTAGGCTCTGGGTAGGTATGGGAAGGGAAAAGGAAGGTTTGCAGAAAATGTGTGTGCATATACACCCGCGCATGCGTGCACATGTGCACACACAGACACGCATGCCACTTTATACTTCTGAGTTCCTGCAGGATGGTATACATGGGTGAAGACAAGAATAACTTGGGCTATCCTGGGCCTCTGGTTCTTCATCTGCCTGACCCCATTCTCCACCCAACTCTATTCCCTAAGTGACCCCTCCCCAGGCTGGGACCCCATGCATTGCAAATGGTTAGAGCCCAGAAGGCCTCCTGACCAAGCCAGGCAGGATGTGGGGGCAGGCAGGCCAGAGGGAGAGGAAGGAAGTCTGAAGAGAGACAATAGGTGGAAGGGGAGGAGGCACTGGGAATGATCAGGATTAGGATGTCCCGCCCAAATCTCAGCTTCAGAAGCCAGTGGGAGTGGGGTTCTCTAGCTCCTCCCCTTAAGGAGTAACTATAGCATAAGCCAAGTGACTTATGCTATAGTTTAATCAAGCCACTAATGTGACCCCTCCCTGCCCCCTAACTTCCTATCCCACCCTTCCCAGAAGAGTGCAATAAGTAGGGACAGAGTTTTGACCCAGACCCAGAGAAAGGCAAATATAGAGGCTAACACTAATACCACTTTCAATGAGCCCTTCCCCTCTCTGGACCCCACTTTCCTGTATATGACTTAGGTCACATAACTCTCATGTGAGAAGATAGTTCTTTATAAAATTCTGGGATAGCTCTGCCTCTGAATAGCAGGCCTTTTGGACATTTTTCTTTGGAAGAAGACTGGAGGTTGCTACCCACTGTCCAGGCCTCAGACTTTGGGCAGGGAGGGGGAAATCTCAGCCTGAGCCCTCCCTTCACCCTGCCCCCCCCCCCAGCAATGGCCTGAGCCCCCATGGCTGCCCCTCAGGACCTGGACATCTCTGTGTGGCTGGCTGCGGTACATCTGGAGCAGTATACAGACACGTTCCGGCAGCATGGCCTGGCTACGGCAAGTGCAGCCCAACATCTGGGCCACAAGGAGCTGAGGCAGTTGGGCATCAACGCCACTGGGCACCGGAAACGCATCCTGCGCCTGCTGCAGGCAGGCACTGCAGAGGGCTCCCTGGATCCCAAACTGGATAGTACCATGGAGCCATCCCCAAGCCCAGTCCCTCGAGCCCAGCCCCTCAAGCCTGTACCCAAACCCAGGACAGTGTTTAGTGGGCTCAGTGGCCCTACTACCACCCAGAGGCCTGGGATGAACCCACCCTTCTGGGGACCAGAAGAGTCCAAGAGTTCAGAGTCCAGCCCAAGTTCCCCTCCTCCCCCTACATCCTCTTCTGAGAGTTCAGCCCTGAATACCGTGGAGATGATGCCCAATGCCATCTATTTCGGTTTGGACTTAAGAGGCGGGACACAAGCAGCTCAAGTCACGTAAGTGGGGTTGGCTGCTTAGGGATCTTATTCTGGGGGAGGAGGAACAAGACATGAGGACAGTCTGTCTTTCTCTCTACCTTCACAACTAACAGATCTTTCTCCTAAGGTCTCCAGACAGCTCTCAGACAACTGCCCCCATCCCTGCCCTCAGGCCTACAACAGGCACAGGTAGGTAGGTTATCCTAGGTTTCAGTAAGCGGGATTTTGCACATCAGGACCTCAGATAATCTCACCTAACCCTGTTACCCCCTGCCAGTGCACATTATGGATCCAGGTTGCCTGTACTATGGTGTTCAGCCTGTAGGTGTTCCAAGTGGCCCCAACAGAAGAGAGGGCAGAGGTGTCTGCCAAGACAGGGCTGAATCCAGGTGAGTACTCCATCAGGTAATGGTGGGAGGAAGATAAGGGAAGCTTGAGGAGTAGTTGAGCTCACAGTGGCCATGTGTCCATTTAGTTATCAAATGTGCATTGAATGTACACTTGATGTATGCCAACCAGGCATTCAAGGCACAAGGTGACTATAATAGGCCCTCAGGCAGCTTGTGACTCAGTGGGACAGACAGAACACAAACCAAGTAGACAAACAGATCCATAATTTCAATATAGAGGATTAAATGTAGTGATTCATGCCTGAAATCCCAGCTACTGGGGAGGCAGAGATAGGAGGCTCATGGTCCAAGGCCTGCCTGGAAAAAGTACAAGATCCTATTTGAAAAGCAATTTGAAAAGCAAAAATACTGGTAGAGCACTAGAGGCTCTGCATTCAATCCGATGGAAGGTATTTTTTTTTTTTTACTTTTCCTTCTTCCATTCAGCATTTTTTTTTTTCTTGGTGCTAGTACTGGGCCTTTAGCTAAGGGTCTCACTCTCCAACTGCATTTTTTTGATCAGGGTTGGCACTCTACCACTTGAACCTCACTCCCACTTCTGGCTTTTTTGTTGGTTAATTGGAGATGAGTCATTCAGATTTGTCTGTCCAGGCTGGCTTTTGAACTGTGATTCTCAGATCTCAGCCTCCTGAGAATCTCAGAAGTACAGGTGGTTGGCTCCATCCAGCAAATGCTTATTGGACAACTGTTACATTCCAAATATAGACACTTGGGGTAGATGCGTGTACATAGAAATTCTTGCTCTTGTGGGGAGATGATCAGTTAATAAATTTATTTAATATACATAGTGAATAGAGAGCTATAGGCAGTATAGGGGACTGCAGGGTTTTTTTTAAATTAAGAATTACTAAGCATTAAGAAGATAACATTTCAGCAAAAACTAAAGTAGCTGAAACATTTCTGCAGGAATGGTGTCTCAGGCAGGGAAAGTGGTCAGAATGTGGAGGCTTCCAGGAAGGTATGCATTCAGGGAACTGCAGAGGCAGTCAGGAGGCCAGCAACATAGTTGGGGCAGATGGGCCTGGCTGGGCAGAGATGATGTCAGAGAGGTCAAGGGCCCCATCTGACAGGTAGGACCTTATAGAGACTTTCAGTTTTACTCTCTGAAATGGGAGGTTATTGGAGGGTTTTTTACTTACACTTTGAAAGGATCCCTCTGGTTGCTGTGCTGGAAATGGTGTATGTATGGGAGGAACAAAAGTAGTAGAGACCAGTTTGGAGGGTTTTTGTTTTTGTTTTTGTTTTGTTTTTGTATTTGGTTTTGTGTGATTTATGGGGCTTGAACTCAGCTTGGGCACTGTCCTTGAGCCTTTTTGCTCAAGGTTAGCATTCTGCTACTTGAGACACAGCTCCACTTTTAGCTTTTCAGTGATGAAGTAGAGGTAACAGTATGGACTTTGTTGTCCAGGTTGGCTTCAAATGGCCATCCTCAGATCTCAGCCTCCTGAGTAGATAGGATTGCAGGTGTGAGGACCTGGTTCTTAGCCAGTTTGGCAGTTTTTGCAGTAACCTATGTGAAAGATCTCAAAATGCTGTGATAAAAGTGGGAGTGATGAGAAGTGGCTAGATTTTGAGGGAAAACTTGTCAAGTTAACTTGGAGATGTGAGAAAAAAAAGACAGTTGGTCAAGAATTACTTCGAGGACTTTAGTATGAGCTTGTAACCACTAACTACGTGTAACTACAGGGCTATGAGATGTGGCAAGTCTATATTGAAATAAGCTATAAGTGTAGGACACCTTCCAGGTTTTGAAGACTTAGTAAACAAACAAACAAAAACACTGGATGAATATAACAGATATAAAAATAAATAACCTTAGTAATTTTTATGTTAGTTACATTCCAAAATCTTAATAGTTTGGTTATATTGGACTATATAAAGTATACTATTAAATTAAGCATATATATTTCCTTCAATTTTTAATGTTGCTATTGGAAAACTTGAGATTTAATTCATGGTTCACATTGAGTTGGACAGTACTGTTCTGAGCAACTGAAAATTTATAGAGTTGCCATGGTCGGAGATAAGAAGGACTGTAGGTAACACAGGTGAGAGGTGGAAGTGGGGGGCAGTTATCCAGAGTTCCATTTTGGACATGTTGAATTTGAAGGGCTTACTATTCATTCAAGACAGATAGATCACTGTGTACACAAATCTAGAATTTGGATGAAAGAGCTAAGCTGGAGACTTCAGTTGGGGAGGTCTTAGCATTGACATGGGGATACACAGTTATGAAGGTGTAGCCAGAGAAGAGGACTAATGAGACCAGATTCCTGGTACCCTCTGCAATCTAGAAAGTTAGGGGAAGTGGAAGGTTTAGCAAACAGACTGAAAAGCAGTGTCTAGTGAAGAAAAGAAACCAGGAGAATGTGATTTAGAAGAGCCCAGGGAACAAAGTATATTAGGAGAAGGGAAGGGCCACCTATGCCTTGTGTCGCCCAGAGGTCTGTTGCTGAGTAAGATAGGACTGAGAGCTGACTACTAGAATTGGCAAGGTAGAGGTCATTGAGAACTTTAACAAGGGCAGTCTTGGAGTGTAAGGAGGAAAGCCCAGTCCGTGGGTTTAAGAAAGAATGGAAGGAGAGGAGTTAAAAACAATAGACAACTTTGTTGAGCTTTTTTCTGCAAGGATTAAAAAAAAGACTGCTGATGGTGGAAATGGAGTCAAAGAAAAGGTTTTGTATTGAATGGAATGTTATGTATGTTTGTAAATGAGAGGCCAATGTAGGGAGACAAATGGTAGAAAAGTGAGAGGGATGTCTGTCAGTGAAAGGAGCAGGATGGGGCGCACAGAGGAAGGGCTGTCTCTGTACATGGGTGTTTATTGGTCACAGAAGGGAGGCTGAATATGTGTGTGAACCTGGGTAGCTAAGGCAATGGGAGTCAATGGAGTTCTGGCTGATTGCTTCCATTTCTCAGTGAAGTAGGAAACAAATAGGGAAGCGTTAGTGGTTTTCAGCCTAAAAGCTGACTCATAACCTGGGCAACCTCCAAAACTGTAAGTGCTTGGGCCTCATTCCCAGAGATGTAAAGCGAAATTATAAAACCCACGTACTGATATTTTTTAGTTTCGTAAGTATATTGAGGGTGAGAATCTTACTTAATGGAGTAATGTGAGTCTGCTCAGGATGGTTAGGGAAGGTTTCTCTGAGAAAAGGACATAAACCGGGATTTGGAGGATGATAAAAAGCAGCATAAGGAGATGAGGAAGGAAGCATGTTCGAGGCAAAGAAAATATGTACAAAGGCTCTAAAGGAGAAGAATGTGGTTAGACTGTAGTAAGCAAGGCTGAGGTTGATGCAACATGAGGTCTGACTGAGGTCAGGGTAGGAATTTAAACCCAGGGCCTCTCGATCACTCAGCTGGCACTCTAGCTCTCAAGTCATGGCTCCAGCAATGCTTTGTGCTGGTTACTTTGGAGACAGAGTTTTGCAGACCTTTCTACCTAGGCTGGTTTTGAACCTCAATCCTCCAGATCTCAGCTTCCTGAGTAGTTGGAATTACAGGTTTGAGCACCAGTGCCCAGCTCATTTACATTTTAAAAAGAGCTCTATAAGATGAAGGAAAATGGATTGTGGATGGAGGGCAAGAATGAAAGAAGTTAGGCAATTTGCAAGCTGATGGAAAATTTGTCCAAAGAGAGAAAGTCAAGTACTTCTTAGAAGCCAGAACCTATAAGACACTGATTAACTATGAGCAACCAAGGCAGGAAGCCATTTGTATGACCAGTTTTTCCACCCATGTACTACTAATGACAGAGGAGGGGGATTGTTAAAAATTCCAAGTATGCTTAGGGAAGAAGAAGCATGGTTATTTTGACATCTCAACCTTCTTACTTTCCATTTGGAAAAGAGATCTTGTATCTGCCAGGCATTCCACTAGGTGTTGTGGGTGAGGGTAGAGAAATGAGAGGGGATTCAGGGTGCTGTGTCTAATGTGTATTCCTCCCTGTTCTGACCCCTACAAAGGCTCAGCAGGCAGGATCTGGAAGCACGGGAAGATGCTGGCTATGCCAGTCTGGAGCTACCTGGGGATTCCACTCTCTCGCTACCCACCCTGGACCCTGAGACCAATGATGACCTCATTTCACCCTATGCCAGCTTCTCCTCCACAGCAGACCGCCCCATGCCCCTGCTCAGTAGCTGGCTAGATAAGCTCTCACCTCAGGGGTGAGGCTGCTGGGAAGGGAAGGGAGAAGAAGGATGCTGGGAGGTGGCGGAGGGTGGGGTAGGAAGGGATAAAGAGGCAGATCCTGAGTGCTCCCACACCCTGTGATCCCCCACCCCATACAACCCCACTCACCCACCAATCTTGGCCCCTTCCTTCCTCAGAAACTATGTCTTCCAGAGACGCTTTGTGCAGTTCAATGGGAAGAGCCTGATGTACTTTGGCAGTGACAAGGTGAGGGGCTAGAGACGCTCTGAGAAAGTAGGGAGAAGAAGAGGGGTGAAGAGGATCAGGATTGAAAGGCCAGAGGGTTGAAGGATGGCCACCTAAGATCCACAAAGGACCACAGCCAGTCAGCTAGTGTGAAGAATTATAGGAGAGTTGGGGAGTGGAGTGAGTCAGAAAGTCAGAGGAGCTGAGAGTTTCCTACAGATGTGTATGAGATACTGAAGAGATGACCTAGGGAGGCCAGAGGTGGCCTTTGAAGTCACTGGTGGCCTGCAGAGAAGCAACTGAAGGTAGCTGGCTTTACAGCTACAGCCATTGCTTGTGGATGGAGTGTTAATCGCCTGACTCAGCTCCTATCTCCTCGGGCCATTGGACTCTCTCTCCAGGATCCTTTCCCCAAGGGTGTGATTCCCCTGACTGCCATTGAGATGACCCGAAGCAGCAAAGACAACAAGTTCCAGGTCATTACCGGCCAGAGGGTGTTCGTGTTCCGCACTGAGAATGAGGGTGAGGGCTGGGACCCCCTGGGACACTGGGTGGGGGGGCTAGAGGCTGTGTGAGAGAACATGGCATACTCACTTGCTTCCTTGTCCCCACCAGCTCAGCGGGACATGTGGTGCTCCACGTTGCAAACCTGCCTAAAGGAACAGCGCCTTCTGGGCCATCCCCGGCCCCCACCTCCACCACGACCCCTCCGCACAGGCATGCTGGAGCTGCGTGGACATAAGGCCAAGGTGTTTGCTGCCTTGAGCCCAGGAGAGCTGGCACTGTACAAGAGTGAGCAGGTAAAGCGGGCTGGGTTGGGGCTGATGAGCCTGCTTTAACTCATTCTGTCACCTCACAGTACCACTACCTCCAACTCCACCAGGCATTCTCTCTGGGCATTGGGATCTGTTTCATTGAACTGCAAGGATGCAGTGTCCGGGAGATCAAGAGTCGAAGCTTTGACCTGCTCACACCCCTTCGCTGCTTCAGGTGGGGCCTGGAATGGTGGGAGACAAGGCTCTGGGTCTTTGGGAGGAGGCACTAGAGAGGACTAAAGGCTCTTCAGCATATGCTAATGAGCTGGGCACCAGAGATCCTAGCTAGTCAGGAGATTGAGATCTGGGGATCATGCATATAGGAAGAGAAGTCTTTGAGAATCTTATCTGCATTTAACCAGCAAAAGGCTGCAAGTAGAGGTGTGTCTCAAATGATAGCGTACAAGCCTTGGGTGAAAAAGCTAAGGAACAGCATCTAGACCCTGAATTCAAGTCGTAGCGTGTGTGTGTGTGTGTGTGTGTGTGTGCGCGCGCGCGCGCGCACGCGCGAGCGTGTGTGTTAATGGATATATGCTGCTGAAAGTCCAGAGCACAAAGTCAAGATTTTAGAAGGAACTAGGCTGATCACGATATGGCTTTGTGGAGCTCCTTTAAGAATGGCCTTGGGATGGGATGTGAAGGGAGGTCCATGCCCACAGACTGGCTGTCCACCCCTCAGCTTCACAGCCGAATCTGGGGGGGCTCGGCAGAGCTGGGCAGCCGCTCTGCAGGAAGCAGTAACCGAGACCCTGTCTGACTACGAGGTGGCTGAGAAGATCTGGTCAAATCGGGCAAACCGGCACTGTGCGGACTGTGGGGCCTCCCGCCCAGACTGGGCTGCTGTCAACCTGGGGGTGGTCATCTGTAAGCAGTGTGCAGGTGAGGGCTGGGGCCTCAAACCCAAATGGGAAGAGAAAGAGGCTGGGGCAGGAGGTCTTTAGAGTACCCGTTCACCTGCCCCTCATATTCTAACAGGTCAGCACCGGGCCCTGGGCTCTGGGATCTCCAAGGTGCAGAGCCTGAAGCTAGACACAAGTGTCTGGAGTAATGAAATAGTACAGGTGAGGAGGGAGGAATGGAAGAACATCCTCAGGCCCAGCATGGGGACAGGATTGGGTGTATGGGGATACTTGAGTGCTGGTCATTTGCCTTTGTCCCTTGTTATCCTACAGTTGTTTATTGTCCTGGGAAACAATCGTGCCAACCGCTTCTGGGCATGGGCATTACCTGCTGGTGAGGGCCTGCATCCTGATTCGACCCCTGGCCACAGGGGAGAGTTCATTTCCCGAAAGTACCGGCTAGGTCTCTTCCGGAAGCCCCATCCTCAGCATCCAGATCATAACCAGCTTCTCCAGGTAGGAGGCATGAGTTGAGGCTCATGGTGGAAGGCGGAGGTAGTCAGTATATGAATTGGAATACCCAGTCTTGGGTGGCAGGGGCTGGTTTTGGCGATAGAGGACTGTCTCCATGGCTTGGAGCTGACAGAGGCCCTTATCTGCTTCAGGCACTGTGTGCAGCTGTGGCAGGACCCAACTTATTGAAGACCATGACCCAGCTTCTCTGTGTGGATGCTTCTGAAGTTGAGGAGCCCTGGTCCCCTTCAGCACTTGATGGCAGCTTTCCTGGCCTTCTACCCTCAGGTAATCCTCTCAGTTGATTGTTCTAAGGTGTGATCAGCTTAACAAGGCTGATTTCCATTTGGACAGGCCAGAGGGCCTGTGTCACTTACAGAATGGCCCATGCTCTGAAATCCCCACCTACAGCCACTTGCCTAGTTGTCTGACTATTGGGGAGAGCCAGTGAACCAGCATTAGGCTAGAGGCCTCCTTGTCCCCTCATCCCTGCCACCCTCTTCCAGTCTGGATAGTGATGGATCCAGCCACATTGGGCTCTGCTTAGCCATGCTGCCTGTAGAGTTGAGTCCATGGCTTTCTCTCATTGGATCCCTTCCCCACTGGAGGTCAGACCATCCCATTTCATTGGCCTAACTTGATCCCGTCTTCTTTTTGCAGACCCTTCTCCTGGTGTCTACAATGAAGTGGTGGTACCTGCCACTTACAGCAGCTTTTTGTACTGTGGTCCCATCAGCAACAAGGCTGGGCCTCCACCTCCTCGCAAGGGCCGAGATGGTGAGGGGAAGCCAATGGATGGGAGGAGACAAGGGGCATACAGTGTGAGACAGGCACAAATGGGCTGCAAAGGGACAGGGGGGACAGGATGGGATGAGAAAGTGGGAAAAGGCCTAGAATAGGCTGGGATGCTGGGAATGATGGAGTAGCCATGCCAGGTGGAAGACTGGGTGATAGAGAAGAGTCTCCTCTGAAGACAGACTGCCTGGGTCAAATCCCCACTCTGCTACTTCCTATGTATATGATTTGGATATGCTGCTCCAATTGGGACCTCAGTTTCTCCATCTGCAAAACAGAAGGAATGTAATATCTCAGAGGATTGTTGAGGAGGTTGAACTGGGATCATCCAGAGGCAGAAGACTTGGCATAGAATAAATATCTGGGCAATGGTAACTATGACAACAGGGGCAGAGGTCTGCTGCTCCTCGACCATCTCTCTCCCACTTAGCTCCTCCTCGCCTGTGGTGTGTGCTGGGAGCTGCACTGGAAATGTTTGCTTCTGAGAGCAGCCCTGAGCCCCTCAGCCTCATTCAGCCCCAGGATGTTGTATGTCTGGGGGTGAGTCCCCCACCCTCAGACTCGGGTGACCTTGACAGGTAATGGCTGTGCCCTTCCCAATCCCTATCTCACAGCTCCCTCCTCTTTGCCTCCTATTTCTCCCTAACCCCTATCTTCTCTGCAGGATCCCCTTTTCCTTTGAGCTCATCCTCACTGGAGGGAGGATCCAGCATTTTGGCACAGATGGAGCAGACAGTCTGGAGGCCTGGATCAGTGCAGTGGGGAAGGTGAGGTAGCTAAAACCCCTCCCCAACAGCTCTGACCTTATCTGCCCTGTCTTGTCCTGTCATATTCATCTAGCCATGCTGATCATTTCCATTAACAAACTGAGTACTTATTATCTGTGCCAGTCCTCTGTTTGACACCTATATCTCATTTAATTTTTACAACCCACCACAGTTGAAGATGATTAATATTTATAAATAAGAAAACTCACTCTTAGAGGCTACTTAGTCATTGGTCACGGTCACAGAGGCATCAGACTATGGGACTCCAACCTCACTGTGCTCTAACCTCTTCCACAGAGCAGCTGCCACTCACTCCTACTACCCTGCTCCACAGGTTTGTTTTTGTTGCTGTTGTTGTTACTTTGTCCTGTTTTGTTTTGTTTGCCAGTTCTGGGGCTTGAACTTCTTTTACTCAAGGCTAGTGCTCTTCTACTTGAGCCAGCGCACTACTTCTGGCTTTTTCGAAGTGGTTAATTATAGATGGACTTTCCTGCCTGGGCTGGCTTGTAACTGTGACTGTCAGATCTCAGCCTTCTGAGTAGGTAGGGTAACAGACATGAGGCACCAGTGCTGGACTCTGCTCCCTCATTTTCTAACTGGCAAAACTATTCTTCTCTCTATCTTACTTCTCTTTATGCCTGAGCAAGCCAATCTCTCCATTTCTAGAATAAAAAGTTCAGGCCCTAGAGTCATCCTGAGATTTGAATCCTACAAACTCTCGGTGTGGGGAGCTTTTCTATGTCTGCAGAGTAGGTGTAAAAGACTCATCCCCTAGGGATGAGGATTAAGTGACATGTAAGGGCCCACACACAGCAAGCCTTCCATGTGTGGGTGTTGAAATGATGATGATGATGATGATGATGATGATGATGATGATGATGATGATGATGACAATCTCTTCCATCCTAAAACAGCTTTTCCTCAATCTCTGCTCCATCTTCTACTTTTCACCCCAGTGCCCTCCTCCCTCTCCTGAATTCTCAGAAAGTTGTGTGCAGCCTGAAGATTCTTTTTTTTTTCTTTTTCTTTTCTTTTTTGTTTTTGTCAGTCATTGGGCCTGAACTCTGGGCTTGGGCACTGTCCCTCAGCTCTTCAGCTCAAGGCTAGTGCTACAACTTGAGCCACAGTGCTACTTCCAGCTTTTTCTGCTTATGTGGTGCTGAGGAATCGAACCCAGGGCCTCATGCATGCAAGGCAAGCGCTCTACCACTGAGCCACCTTCCCAGCCCTGAAGATTCTCTTTAACACCTTAAAGCTGCCTTCCTCTCACCCAGGCTCTCCCAAGCTGCTACTCTGCAGGTTACCAGTGACATCCATGTCCAAGGCCAATGGCCACCTTCTGGCATCTCCAAGTCATCTCTCCAACAGCTGATAGGCATCTGTAAGAAATTCTTAGCTCTGACCTATAATTCCTATAGTTCTCCTCAAACTAACAAACCATCTCCGATCCTTTGAGGGCTCTGCCTTCCCAGGCAGGTCTAAGTCTACTCTTATATTTTCTATACTTTCCAGAAGTTCCATTCATCCTCTAAGGCAGTGCTACCCAATGCGGTATGAATACTGTCACATCACACTGTCCCTGGACTGTTTGTTCTTTTCCATGATAGGATAAGCACAGAACTTGAGAGGAAGCATTTTGAATCGATTAGAGCAATTTGGCAGAGTAATTTTATGTGTTGAATCTAATTAGACAAGTAAAGGGTTTGTATGTCTTTGCTTTTATTATCTTAGTTTTCTGAAAATTCATTTTTATTATTTTGAACATAGGTATTGAGTAGTGACAGATTAAAACTTAAAAGAAAAAAAGAAAGAAAGGCAAATGAAAAACCCTAGTCCTTTACCACGAGTAGTCTGAGAAGCATTGCTTTGAGGTAAAACTCAACACCTCTTCTTCCAGGAAGATTCTCCCCAGTACCCTGAGGCAGGATAGACCAGCAATAGAATATATTGGTTATTCACTGTTTCTCATCCCACATCCCAGTTGAGACACAAAGTTGGGACAACAGTGGGTCATCTCTATGATGGTTGAAGTGAATTGAACTGAATTTCTTTCTTGTCTTTCTCTGTCCATGTCATGTCACCTCCTTTTATCTCTCGCCATTCTATTCCCTCCACTTCTGGTTTCCCCCATCTTCTCATTCTTCATTCCCTCCTTGTCTCTTCCCATCTTCTCTCTGCTTCCACAGTGGTTTTCCCCACTCAGCTGTCACCAGCTGCTGGGCCCAGGACTGCTGCGGCTGGGCCGCCTGTGCCTGCGGTCCCCCTCCCATACAGCCCTGGCCCCTGGACTTTGGCTATCAGCGTTTGGCCTTCTTCGTGGTGACCACCTCTTCCTGTGTCCAGCACCAGGCCCTGGCCCACCAGCCCCTGAGGACATGGTGCATTTACGTCGGCTGCAGGAGATCAGTAAGCAGGGGTGCGGACAGGGCTGAAGGAAGCCATAGGGGTGGGTAAGAGTGGACCTTTTTAAATTTGGGGATTTATGCCAGGCGCTGGTGGCTCACACCTGTAATCCTAGCTACTCAGGAATCTGAGATCTGAGGATCAGTTCAAAGCCAGCCCAAGCATGAAAGTCCATGAGACGCTTATCTCCAATAAACCACCAGAAAACTAGAAGTGGTGCTGTGGCTCAAGTGGTAGAGTGCTCGCTTTGAGCTTAAGAGCTCAGGGATAGCACCCAAGCCCAACCATAAAAAAAAGGGGGGGGGTGGGATTTACAAATTACAAGAATTTTAGTGAGAAAGAACAGAATGTATTAGCTTTAGGTACAAACTCTGAAGTCCAACTACCTAGATATAGGCCTTACCTTTAATATGTCCTGTGTACCCTTGGACAAATGATTTAATCTCTGTGCCTTAATTTCCTCATCTTTTTATGCTGGTAATCATAGCTACTCAGGGGGATGAAATATAATGATCTCAGTTCAAAGCCAGCCTGGGAAGGAAAGTCTATAAGATTCTTATCTCCAATTAACTATCAAAAATCCTGAAGTAGAACTGTGTCTCAAGTGGTAGAGCACCATTCTTGAGAGAAAAAGCTAAAGGGATAGCACCCAGGCCCTGAGTTCAAGCCACAGTATAGGCCAAAAAAAAAGAGAGACAGCGGGCACTGAAGAGCTCAGGGACAGCACCCAGGCCCAGAGTTCAAGCCCATACCCACCACCACCACCACCACAACAGAAGGTTACAGTGAAGTTAAAATAAGGCAAAAGTACTCAGTACATGTTATATAAATGTTATTGTTGGTATTATTTTTGCTGGTTGGGGACTGGGAGGGTGGACAGGATACCCTCACTGTTATCCTTCTTGTTAAAAGAGAATATGAAGTTGGACACTGGTGGCTCACACCTGTAATTCTAGCTACTCAAGAGGCTGAGATCTAAGGATTGAAGTTCAAAGCCAGCCTGGGTAGGAAAGTCCATGAAACTCTTATCTCCAATTAGCCACCAGAAAACCAGAAGTGGTGCTATGGCTCAAAGTGGTAGAACTTGAGTGAAAAAGCTTAGGGATAGTGCCCAGGCCCTGAGCTCAAGCCCCACAACCAACAACAATACGAAAAAAGAAGAGTAAGAAAATTATAGTATCATATTATTTTCAAACTTTTGAAACAAAATGCCTGGGTTTATTTTACAGCAAATAAAGCAAGGCAAGTTATTTAATCTCTCTGAGCTGTAATGCAACTTATAACATGGAGAGAGTAATATGTAACTCCTAGGATTTATGAAGCATGGAATGTAAGGCTCCTAATCTAGTACCTAAATTCCTTAAGCTCTCATAAATAGTATTTCCTATGATGAAGATGAAGATGATATTAATGTCCAGTGATTCTCCTATCAGGTGTGGTCTCTGCAGCTGACACCCCAGACAAAAAGGAACATTTGGTCTTGGTAGAGACAGGAAGGTAAATGTTGTTCCTGCCTTTAGCCTCAAAGCTCCTTTTCTGAAATTTATCCCACTGTCTGCACGCTGTCCTCTTGGATCACTGCCTGTTTCCTCAAAGCTGCTTCCCTAGCTCTGGGACCATCTGGGTTGGGTGCTGCTGCCCCCTGCTGGTGCTTCTGCAAAGTCAGGGTCCTTGTGCTCTTGAACTGTCAGTCAAAGGACCCTGTGGAGCTGGCTCTGACTTGGACCCAACTCTTGGGTCTCAGGACCCTGTATCTGCAGGGGGAGGGTCGGCTAGACTTCTCGGCATGGAATGCAGCCATTGGAGGTGCCGCTGGTGGGGGAGGCACAGGACTTCAGGAGCAGCAGATGAGCCGGGGTGACATCCCCATCATTGTGGACGCCTGCATCAGTTTTGTCACCCAGCATGGTGAGTGGGCACTGGTTGATACTGAGCCAGTGGGGTCAGGATGGGGAGAGGAGAACATGGACACAGCCATAGATGGGAGATGAGCCACCTAAAAATAGTTCTGAGCCAGGTTCTAGATCATGCCTGGAATCCTAGCTACTCAGGAAGGCTACGATCTGAGGATCACGGTTCAAAGCCAGCTTAGGCAGACAACTCTTACCTCCAACTGACAAACAAAAAGCTGTAAGTAGAGATGTGGCTCAAGTGGTAGAGCACCATCCTTGAGCAAAAAAATCTAAGCAAGAGCATGAGGCCTTGAGTTCAGTTCTCAATACTGGCAGCAACACAAAAGGGTTCTGCTTCCCAGCACCAAAGGGTGTTATGACTTGGCAAGCTGCTGTGTATTTCTAGGCCTTAGTTCCTGCATCTGTAAAATGGAACAAACAGTCCTCATTTTTCAAAGTAGTTATGTGTCAAGCTTTGAATTCAGAGCCTGACAGGGGTACATGTTTGGAGGTCACTTTCATAGAGGTGTGGGGATGGTGGATGAATGCAACACTGTGAATGTGATGGAGGATGCACAGCTATGGTGAACAGAGGGAAGGAAGCCACTAGACAAGAGCCTCACTGTGCAGAAAGCAACTTTCCTGATAGTCTGAGCAGAATCATTCTGTGGGGAGAGATTTTCCAGACATGAAGTTGGCAATTCATCCCTACACTTCTTTGTGAGTTTTTAGCCTCTGTTTTGTTCTCTACACAAATAAGGACCATGTAGAAATCTATCTTCCCTATGACTCCATTTATGAGGTTGAATTTTTGGGGAAAAAAAATCTCACAGAAAGCTAATGAAGGTGCATGAGGTTCTGAGTTCAACCCCACCTAAAACAAAAGAAGAGGAGGAGGAAAGGGGAAGGAGGAGGAGATAGATGAGGCACCCTATGAAAAGATAGACACTGGACAGTCATAGCTAATAACATTCTTCTCACCTTGGCAATAGCATCGTTCAGTGACTTATCTTACTTATTTAGGCCTCTTCTCAGCCTCCCTGTGTCACAGGAGGAATTCAGTCTGAAGCTTAGTGGGAAGGTCCTGAATAAAGAGGGGGTGGTCAGACATGCCCCTCTCCCACTCCAGGATCCATACACCACAAGTTCATTTGACAGATTTGTTGAGCAGCTAGTGATCATGAGGAAGATGCTATAGATACAGCAGTGAATGCTATCTCACACATTAGTGTGAGATGGCATTAAGAAAACAAATATAATCAGTTCTCATTATTTGCACGAGTTATGTTCTGTAAAGCCACTGCAAACAATTAGTGAATACTGAATCCTTACCTCAAGGAAGAGACAGATTTAGGTTCCTCTGAACTTCTGGTACAACATTTTTGTCAACGAATCAATGTGTGACCTTGCATGCGTGTGTGTGTGTGTGTGTATGTGTATGCGCGCGCGCACGCGCGCACATGCACACATGCACGCACACTTCAGTTTAAAGTGACCTTATTTAATGTGTGTGTGTTTTATTTGTGAACATTGAAATCAGAAGCATAACTATACCTCAATGAAGCTTATCTAATGCACAGAAATATTCTCTGTATGGCACATTACAGCCTGCTTATACTTGGAAATAATAAGCAGTCTTTCAGAATTATACTTGGAAGCTATTTTATGCAGTGCGGTCATCAACAAAAAAAACACAAGTATTTGAAAATGTAACTCTGAATTCTACCATGAAAAGGATATTTCTGGCTGGGAATGCAGCTCAGTGTTAGTACCCCTGTCTAGCATATGCAAGGCCCTGGGTTCAATCACTGACACTCCCAAGAAAGAAAGTGAGAGGCAGAGACAGAGACTCATCTAGGAACAAGAATATGGAAGAGGGACTTGAGATTTTTCTCTGTATATATTCACAAATGACCAAAAGTACAAGCGTCCCTCTATACCTGCAGGTTTTATATCTATTTGTGTATTCAACCAACTAAAGACATGAAATATTTGTAAGCTGGGCATGTTGACATAGTCTTTTTTGTTGTTGTTGTTGGTCCTGGGGCTTGAACTCTGGCTTGGGCCTGTCCCTCAGCTCTTTAGCTCAAGGCGAGCACTCTACTGCTTGAGCCACAGTGCCACTTCCAGTTTTTTCTAGTGGTTTATTGGAGATAAGAGTCTCACAGAGTTTTCTGCCTGGGCTGGCTTTGAACCTTGATCCTCATATCTCGTATCTCCTGAGTGGCATGAGCCACCAGCACCCGGCGTTGACATAGTCTTGTAATCATAGCTATGCAGGAAGGAGATGTAGGAAGATTGTAGTCCAAAGCTAGCCCTGAGCAAAAGAGATCTTACCTGAAAAACAGAAACCAAAAAGGCATGGAAACATGGGTCTACTAGAGCACTTGGCTAGCAAGTGCAAAGCCCTGAATTCAAACTCCACTAGCAGAAAGAAAGAAAGAGAGAGAGAGAGACAGAGACAGAGACAGAGACAGAGAGAGATGCATATGTACTGACTTGTGCTTGTCTTTATTTCATAAACAAGACAGCATAACAGCTACTTACACAGCACTAACATCATGCCAAGTACTGCACATAATCTAGAGATGAGTTAAAGCATCCAGGTCAAACTGTCTAGGTTATATGCAAATAATACTATATAAGAGACATATCTGTGGATTTGGTTATTTTGTGGGAATTTCTGGAACCAATTGCGCATGGATACTGGGGGATACTGATTTTTGGATTGTAAATAAATTTGGTAAATGCTCAAATATAAAATCTGAAGATAATCAGATCAAAGAGTACTACTTTAAAGATAAAAGTGGTATGAGATACAGCAGATACAGGTGGGGGCTGAAAGAGATTGGATACATCCATCCCAGGGGACCACACAGAGGTAGGCATGAGGAGCCATATTTCCCCAAGAGGGAGCACATGGCCTCCTGTCACCATCCAGGTAGCAGGAGGGTCTGAGGGGACAGGAAGTAGATGGGAGTTCAGGTGGGTCTGGGCGGAGAGAGGGAGGGGCCAGCTGTATGGAGGGAACTTCAGGAATGGGAGGGGGCCCAGGTCTGGATGGAGCTGAGGACCAAAGGTGAGCATAATACTAACAGGGATACTGTGTGTGACAACAGCGAGGTCAGAGAGTTACTTCCTGGCAAGGAGCTAAGAATCAAAAACACTCAGCTCTCCTACTCCTATGTAGCCATGTCCCAAGGAGAGAGTCACTGGGTGGGTAATGGCCTGTCCTTTTTGCCATGGTGAACAGAATCTACTGGCTGTTTCTAGGGCTCAGACTGGAAGGTGTATATCGGAAAGGGGGCGCTCGGGCCCGTAGCCTACGACTCCTTGCTGACTTCCGGCGGGATGCCCGGTCTGTGAAACTCCGGCCCGGGGAACACTTTGTGGAAGATGTTACTGACACCCTCAAACGTTTCTTTCGAGAGCTTGATGACCCTGTGACCTCTGCTCGATTACTGCCTCGCTGGAGAGAGGCTGCTGGTACTCCCAAGATCCCTCATTATGAAGCCAAAAAGGGATTTGCCTCCTTCCTACTATCAGAATCTGTGAGGCTTTCTTGGGGTATTGGGAAGACTTCCTTCTCAGCACTCCACCCTAGGGGTCATGTGGAGACTTGGCTTAGGGGGAGGTAGGAGGCAGGCAGGGATTTCTCCAGATATCTCTTTCCACACTCTAGCCTATGCTCCTTACCTGGATCCTCTCCTCCATTCCATCTTCAGAGCTTCCCCAAAAGAATCAACGCTTGGAGAAGTATAAAGAAGTGATTAGCTGCCTGCCTCGGGTCAATCGCCGTACACTGGCTACCCTCATTGGGCATCTCTATCGGTCAGTATGGCTAGATCCTCTGCAGGCTCCCTCCCTGAACGTTCATCACCTCAGTCAGACTCCACAATTTATTTCATTCACTTACTGATTCATTCATTCATTCCACAAACAGCTGTTCAGTGATGGTTGTTGTAGCATAAAGTTTTGGGGTCCAACATACCTAAGTTTTTGATCTAGCTCCATCATTCTAGTTGTGTGTCTTTGGGTGAGTTATTTGTTCCCTCTCAAGCCTGTTTTCTCATTTCTAAGAGGAAGGTGAAGTAATGAATACTATATACCTCATTAGGTGGATGAGATGGGTAATATCACCTCCACTTATATGGATATGAAATTCCATGTGAAATTCTTAGTAAAAGCCTTTAGAAATGGTTAGAAATCAATATTGTTGGGCTGGGAAGGTGGCTCAGTGATAGAGCGCTTGCCTTGCATGCATGAGGCTCTGGGTTTGATTCCTCAGCACCACATAAGCAGAAAAAAAAAAAGCAGGAAGTGGCGCTGTGGCTCAAGTGGTAGAGTGCTAGCCTTAAGCTGAAGAGCTGAGGGACAGCACCCAGGCCTAGAGTTCAGGCCCCACGACTGGACCGCAAAAAAAAAAAAGAAAAAAAGAAAAAGAAATCAATATTGTTTTATTATGCTATGCTAGGCAAAGAGTTAGCTGTAAGAAATACAAAGATAAGGTCTCGAGGCATGGCTCTAGACCTAACAAGCAAAAGGCTCTGAGTTCAAATCCCAGTACCACTAATTTAAAAAGAAAGAGAGACATATCACCCGACGTGGAAGAAATAACTGTATTGTCAAAGCTCATAGAACTCTGGGCTGGGAAGGTGGCTCAGTGGTAGAGCGCTTGCCTTGCATCCATGAGGCCCTGGGTTCAATTCCTCAGCACCACATAAGCAAAAAGAAAAAAGCCAGAAGTGGTGCTGTGGCTCAAGTGGTAGAGTGCTAGCCTTGAGCTGAAGAGCTGAGGGACAATGCCTAGGCCCAGAGTTCAGGCCCCAGGACTGGACCCCCCCCCAAAAAAAAACTCATAGAACTCATAAACTTTATAGACCATGATAAAGACAATTTGCCCCATGAAGGTTAGAATGTGTTTGTGACTTTAAGCATCACAATCCCACAACACTGAAATTTGTGAAATTTATGTAATCACTTAATCACAATAAAAAAATCGCAAAAAAAAAAAAAAAAGAGAGAGACAAATAAGATGCAGATTACTTTTCCCAATCTATCGGGGAAAGTGGCCTTTGAGTTATTCTGGGATGAATCCCTGGCTGTACTGTACTGGTTATGTAATAGTAGAAAAGTGGTCAACTCCAGACCTATTGTTTATTTATGTAAGCGAAGTTCTGTATATAAGTATAAAAACATACCCATTAATTTATATATTATGTATTTTATACTGTTTTCTGCGTGTGTGTGCGCGCGTGCGTGCATGTATGCCAGTCCTGGGGCTTGCATCCAGGGCCTGAGCTTTTGTGCCCAAGGCTAGGGCTCTACCACTTGGGCCACACCTCTACTGACTTTTTGGAAGTTCATTGGAGATAAGGGTCTCAAGACTTTCCTGCCTGGACTGGCTTCCAACTCTAATTCTCAGAACACAGCCTCCTGAGTTGCTAGGATTATAAGCATGAACCCCTGGCACTCAGCTTTCTATGGTTCTTTTTTCTCTATAACAGCAGAGTTAAGGAGTTACGACAGATTCCATGGCCTGACAACCTCAAGTATTTATTATCTGCTTTTTACATAAAAAGTTTGCTGCTACCTGCTGTATTTATGATCATGCCTAATCATTCATAAATCCCTAAGGCCACTGTTGTGTATTATTCATTGCTGTATCCCCAGTACTTGCCTAGACCCTAGCATACAGCAGGAACTCAATAAGTGTTTGCTGAATCTATGGATGTTTTGGTGAAGGGGTGAGCATAATTGCATTCTTCATGACCCTGATCCCTTTCTGCAGGGTACAGAAATGTGCAGCTTTAAACCAGATGTGCACACGGAACCTGGCCCTTCTGTTTGCACCCAGTGTATTCCAGACAGATGGACGAGGGGAGCATGAGGTTCGGGTGTTGCAGGAGCTCATTGATGGCTATGTCTCTGTCTTTGATGTAAGGCTTTCCTGACCTCTGGACTACTACAATCACTCCAGCCCCTGCTGTACTCTGCCCACCCCAATAGGCCTTAGCCCAGACCTCTCTGTCCCTCTGTATCAAGAACCTCCTCCCACATCCCTGGGCTTCTCTGTTCCATAGCCTTTTTCCCAGCATCCTCTCCCTACTGAGTCTTAGCTCTTCATACCACCAACTCTTATTCAGGTCCCCGTTCCCTTCCTTTTCCATCAGCCTCCTCACATATACCAATCTTTGGCCTTTTCACAGATTGATTCTGATCAGGTAGCTCAGATTGATTTGGAGGTCAGTCTCATCACTACCTGGAAGGATGTGCAGGTAATGTGCCCTGAGCTTAGAGGTCTGGGTGGGGCAGAAGGGGAAATAAAAAGACCGAAAACTAACTTTCTGCCTGTTCTTCATCATACTGACCCTCAGCTCTTTGGGAGATGGGAACCCCAAGGAGAGAAGAGCTTTGGGTAGTGGGTTTACACCATTCATTCTACCATGAGGCTTCTTCGTTACAGAATGGTAGCAATAGCATCTCATATCTAAGCTTAAGAGAACCAGGGAAGAGTTAGTATAGTCAGCCAGAGCAGTGAGAACAATAGTACAGTAGCAAATTTTTTAACCAGGGACATCTTATATCCCAGGAACCTTTAATCTCATTTTAGTATCATGCAGTCCATAAAGTAGGTAGTTCCTTTTTTTTTTTTTTCAAATAAAAACCGAGGCTCAGCCGGGCACCTGTGGCTCACGCCTGTAATCCTAGCTACTCAGGAGCCTGAGATATGAGGATCTCCGTTCAAAAGCCAGCTCGGGCGGGAAAGTCCGTGAGACTCTTACCTCCAATAAACCACTAGAAAACCAGAAGTGGTGCTGTGGCTCAAGCAGTAGAGCGCTTGCCTTCAGCTGAAGAGTGCACGGACAGTGCCCAAGCCCAGAGTTCAAGCCCCATGACCTACCAAAAAAAAACAAAAAACAAAAAAAACTGAGGCTCAGAAGGTCACTTATTCAAGATCATACAGTGGTGAGTTGCAGAGTTGAAACCCAGGCAGTATGCCTCCAAACCTCTTTTTCCAACCACTGTGTGGCACTGCCTTGGGTAGTACTCTATAAAACTAAAGATGCAGTTCCACTCTCCATTTTTTTTTTTTTTTGGGTCCAGTCGTGGGGCCTGAACTCTGGGCCTGGGCGCTGTCCCTCAGCTCTTCAGCTCAAGGCTAGCGCTCTACCACTTGAGCCACAGCGCCACTTCCGGCTTTTTTTTTCTTTTTGCTTATGTGGTGCTGAGGAATCGAACCCAGGGCTTCATGCATGCAAGGCAAGCGCTCTACCACTGAGTCATCTTCCCAGCTCCTCCACTCTCCATTTTAAGGGCCCATGCGACATTGGGGAGAGAGTTGGGAAGAGAAGGGGGAGATGGTAGGAGACGGTGTGAGGAATCTTCCCCCCCTCCCCCTCCCCCCGGTTTTGGATTTGGGGCCTGGGCTCTTTTGCTCAAGGCAAGCACTCTACCACTTGGAGCCACAGTGCCACTTCTGGTTTTCTGGTGGTTAATTGGAGATAAAGAGCTTCACAGATTTTCCTACATAGGCTGGCTTTGAACTGTGATCTTCAGATCTGCGCCTCCTGAGTAACTACGATTACAGGCATGAGCTGCCAGCACCTGGTGTAAGGAATCGTCTGATTTTGGTATTTCTTCATACTCCTGTGTCCCATTGACATCTTGTTTTTGAACCTGTTTGTTCAGCTATCTCAGGCTGGAGACCTCATCATGGAGGTTTACATAGAGCAACAGCTCCCAGACAACTGTGTCACCCTGAAGGTTAGTCCTAAGGGAACTGGAGGCGAGGGGAAAAAATGGATAGAGGGCAGAGTCAACGGCCTGACTAGGATAGGCTCTCTGCTTTTGTCTGGATCCCAGGTGTCCCCAACACTGACTGCTGAGGAGCTGACTAACCAGGTACTGGAGATGCGGGGAACAGCAGCAGGGACGGACTTGTGGATGACGTTTGAGATTCTTGAGCATGGAGAGCTTGGTGAGTATGACCATGTGCCTGCCTGTGGGTATGTGATGGAGTGTGTAGTCATGAGGTCAAGGCCATCAGTGACTTCGGTAATGCCAAATATATTGGACATCTTACTCATTCACTCATTCATGTGAAAAGAGTTTAATAAGTTAACCCATTCCCTTTTTCTCAGTATGCTTTTCTCTTGGTTTTAAATCTAGTGCCTTTTCCCTTCTACCCCTTATGCCTAGATTCAAGTGTTACAATAACCAAGGATAAATCTTGGACTCTTTCTTCTTTATCTCATCTCTCTTTAGATGAATTCATTCTTTCCCAAGGTTAAAATTCCATTAACATGCTGACAGCCACATTTTTTTTTTTTTGGGTCCGGTCATGGGGCCTGAACTCTGGGTCTGGGCGCTGTCCCTCAGCTCTTCAGCTCAAGGCTAGCGGCTCTACCATTTGAGCCACAGCACTTCCGGCTTTTTTCTTTTTGTTTATGTGGTGCTGAGGAATCGAACCCAGGGACTCTGGCATGCAAGGCATGTGCTCTACCACTGAGCCACCGTCCCAGCCCCAGACAGCCACATTTTTATCTCTGGCCCACACTTCTTCTTTGAATTCCAGACTCACAAACTGCTTCTTGACATCTTCACTTCTTACAGGTACCTCACATTTATAACATTTAAGAAGGGCATTTTCTGGATTCCTTAGCTTTCTCTTTTAACAAAAATCCCAGATTAAAAAAAAAAACAAACTTGTTTTTTGTGCCACTACTGGGGCTTGAACTCAGGGCACTGTCCCTTAGCTTTTTGTCTAAGGCTGGTGCTTTATCACTTGAGTCATAGTGGCATATGGACTTTCCAGCCAAGCTGGCTTCCAACTGAGATCCTAGGATTCTAGGCTCCAGATTTTTTTCTAAGATTTCCCAACTCAATAAATGGTGCCATAATTCACCTCATTATTAGGACCAGAAACCTGGAGTCCTCTGAGACTCCTCCATTTCCTTTCACATCCACCCACCAACTAGCTGGTTCCACTTCAATCTACCACTTTTCTCCACTTCCACTGGTACCACCGCCCAACACCATCCAACATTAACCCTAACAGGTATGGCTCCAGAATGTGAATGTTCCATTTTTTGACCCCCTACAAGCTGTTTTCTGCACCACAGCCAAGTGAACATTTCAGATACACACCAGATCATGTCATTCCCATGTTTCAAACCCTCCAAGGTTTTCCCATAGAGCTTAGAATAAATAAAAGACAATTCGGAATCCTTATTGTAAACTGTAAGATCCAGAAAGTGTCTTATTTCTGCTGCTTATTTCTCAGGCCTAATCTCACATCACCTATTCTCTGACCTGTCCTCTGTCCTCTTTTTTATTTGGCCAGTCCTGGGGCTTGAACTCAGGGCCTGGGCACTGTCCCTGAGCTTCTTTTTGCTCAAGGCTAGCACTCACCACTTGAGCCACAGCAACAGACACTTCTGTCTTTTTCTGTTTATGTGGTACTGAGGAATCAAACTCAAGGCTTCATGCATGCTATGCAAGAGCTCTACCACTAAGCCACATTCCCAGCTCTTCCCCCCCCCCCCCCCCCGCCACGCACCTCTTTTCTGCGGTCTCATGGGCTATTTTTGTTTGTTTGGCTGTTTGGTTTTGATTTGTTTTCTGATGCTGGTGATTGAACCTAGGGATCTGAGCAAGACAAGCATTTACTACTAAGCTACTTTCCTGATTTGGCTTCATAGTCCAGTTTCCCAGAGACAACTTTCCAAACTCAGAGCCTTTGTTCCTTCCATTTCATCCTATAACATCTTTTTTTTTTTGGGGGGGGGGGGTCTGGTCCTGGGGCCTGAACTCTGGGCCTGGGCGCTGTCCCTCAGCTCTTCAGCTCAAGGCTAGCACTCTACCACTTGAGCCACAGCACTTCCGGCTTTTTTCTTTTTGCTTATGTGGTGCTGAGGAATTGAACCCAGGGCCTCATGCATGCAAGGAAAGTGCTCTACCACTGGCCATCTTCCCAGCCCCTCATCCTATAACATCTTACATGATCTTAGCATGGCTTGCTCTTCTTAATCCTTCACACTGCTGAGCCTCATCTTCAAATGCAACTTCTGATAGACCTTATCTGACTACCCTGTTTTCAGTTGCTGCCCATTCTTTCTTTGTGCTTGTGCCTAATCTCTCAGCTTATTGTTTCTTTCAAGGCAATTATTAATCTCTAATTATTTTGTTTGCCCACCTGTTTATTGTCAGCTCCCCCAACAGGCTGTGGTTTAGAGAAGGCAGGCCATATGTATTTGCTCACCAGGCATTCCCAGTGCCATGTGGTAGCTGGCAGAGAGACAGTGTTAAATGTGGCTGGATAGTAGATTGGGTATGAGTGAGAGATTGGTAGAAAAAAGCTGGGATCCTAAGGACTTGGTTGGATATGCTGATTGATTCTTACCCTTACTTTTCCTCTTCAGAGCGGCCACTGCACCCTAAGGAGAAGGTCCTAGAGCAGGCCCTACAATGGTGCCAGCTTCCAGAGCCCTGCTCAGCCTCTCTGCTCCTAAGGAAAGTCTCCCTGGCCCAGGCTGGCTGCCTCTTCACCGGTGAGACTTTTTCCTCAGCCTAATATTCCCCCCAGTCTTCTCCTGGAGGCTCCATTCAGCATTATCCATTTGTGCCCAGGAGTCCGACGTGAGAGTCCACGGGTAGGACTATTACGGTGTCGTGAGGAGCCTCCCCCTTTGCTGGGAAGCCGCTTCCAGGAGAGGTTCTTTCTGTTACGTGGTCAATGCCTGTTGCTGCTCAAAGAGAAGAAGGTGAGGCCCTGGGATAGAGGAATGAGACTCTTGGGTGACCATGCAACAGACTGGTGACTGTACCAAGCCTCTGATTCCACAGAGCATACTTGCATCTGCCTCATGGCTTTCCTGACCTTGACCTGTCTGACCCTGCGGTCACATATCCCCAATGCTTCCATGATTTCCTGAACTCACTAACCATGAGCTTTCAACCTCACTGACTATTCCTGTTCTCAGAGCTCTAAACCAGAACGTGAATGGCCACTGGAAGGTGCCAAAGTCTACCTGGGAATCCGTAAGAAGTTAAAACCTCCAACACCGTGAGTTCTCTTCCTCAGCTTTCATCTACAGCCTTTCTTCCATTACTTCTTTGGCTTGAAAGTCATCCTATCATTTTTCTCTTTTGGCCTCTTCCAGGTGGGGCTTCACTTTGATACTGGAGAAGATGCACCTGTGAGTACTCCAGCTTGGCTCCTCTTCTAGCCCAGACTTATACCCTGTCCTTGTTCCTCCTCTTTCCCTTCTTCTATTCCATCATCCCTAGAGCTGTGACTCCTTCACTCCCCTAAATCAACTCTGATCTCCCTCAGCTACTTGTCTTGCACTGATGCCAATGAGATGTGGGATTGGACCACCAGCATCCTTAAAGCCCAGGTGAGGAGGAGGAAAAGGTTGAGGGCTGGGTCTCTAGTCTCTCAGGGGGTTGTGGGGGGAGGTATACCTCTCAGTGCCTCCTAAGCCCACTGGTGCCAACCTCTCACCCTCTCACCAGCACGATGACCAGCAGCCAGTGGTCTTACGACGCCGCTCCTCCTCTGACCTCGCTAGGCAGAAGTTTGGCACTATGCCTTTGCTACCCATCCGTGGAGATGACAGTGGAGCCACCCTCCTCTCTGCCAACCAGACCCTGGTGAGACCTTCCCCCCCTCCCCCCCCCACCGCACCTGTCCCAACTCTTACTTGATCCCACCCTTACTACAGTCACACCACAAGAAGTAGTGGAGTACATGCCAGGATGGTGCCCCCTCTATTGACCTCGACCTTCCCTTCCACCTTCTCTGTGCTCCCGCACCCCATCCCTGCCTCCTGTTGCCAGACCTCATTGTGCCTCTGTTTCTTCTTCCTCTCATTCCTGTTGTACGTGTGCCCAGCGGCGACTACATAACCGGAGGACCCTGTCCATGTTCTTTGTGAGTACTGTGCCTGCTTCAGCTATGCACCTGCCAGCCCTGTGTTTGTCTGTACTGCCCAAGCCCCAATGTGATATGTGTATGTCCTGATGGAGACCAACAGAGACAGACAGACAGACAGACAGAGACAAAGTCAGAGAAGAAAAAATGATGAGTGGTAAGACATGGTGAGGAAAGGACACTGATCACAGAACTGTAGAGCTAGAAGACAAGTGGTTATGTGAATGAGTCTGGCAGAAGGGTTCAATCCTCACCATTCCCATTCCCTTGCTATGTAATCTTGGGCATTTTAACTCTTCTGCACTCTTTCATAGTAAGAAGCTCCTGCATAAGGCAGTTCTCATATCAAATATATGAAGTATCTTGCAGCGTCTGGTCCAGGGAAGAGCTCAATAAATGTTCGCAATTAATAATCCAGTAACTGTGTCTGCCCCCTGCTGCCCCCATTCCCATCCAGCCGATGAAGTCATCCCAGGGTTCTGTGGAAGAGCAAGAAGAGCTGGAGGAGGAGCCTGTGTATGAAGAGCCAGTATATGAAGAGGTGGGGGCCTTCTCTGAGCTTACCAAGGACACCTCGACCTTCTTAACCATATCAGAGTGGACCACTGACTCAGAGACCCCACACACTAACCAGACGTCCATTGATCAAATCCCCCTCTCCAAGGCAAGCAATTGGGAGGAAAGACCACCTGACCTTCCTCCTGGACTCCCTTCAAGGAGTAGTCCCCAGACACGGGGGTCCCTGGAGGAACAGCTGCTCCAGGAGCTGAACAGCCTCATCCTGAGGAAAGAGGAGACTTCTTCAGGCCCAGGAAGCCCTACTCAGCCATCCAGCTCCAATACCCCCAGCCCCACTGAGCTTCCAACACAGACACCCAGATTTCCCACCCAACCTTCCTCTACTTCTAGTCCACCCTCCAGCCAGCCCCTCACATGACCAGCATTGAGGGGGAGGTACCTTGAGGATTCAGGCTGTCACAATGGTAGACACTGCTGGAGCTTCCTTTGCGTGGCTAGAAAGACTCCAAAATACAAAATCTAGCATGGTGCTGTGGAACGAGCACTAGTCTAAGGCTCCTAGAAGCTGTGTGTCTCAGGGAAGGTAATGGCTCTTCTCTGGGCCCCAAAAATCTGTGCTGTGAAGCCAGGAGGGTGATGAATATCAAACTGTGTTTCTTAGCACTGTAAGGCCCCACATTCTTTCTTCAACAAGGCAGCTCCTACTTTACATATTTGGTATGTAGGGGTTCTGTGAGAAGTTTGTGTCGAAGGGTGGTTTTACTGCATTAAGGAAAAATAAAGTTTGGAAGGAAGACGTATGGGTCATATCTAAACCTGTCTTATCCCAATTCCCATATTTTAGGCTTACAGGGAAGCCATGGAAAGGGGAAATTGTTGGTGTTGAGAACTGGGCCAAAGAAGAGCCCCCAAACAACCCAAAACAATTAGTCACTATTAATAAACCTTGGAACTAAAAACTTTCTATTCTTTTATTCATTCATTCATTAAACAAGTATGGCCAGGCTGTACCTGTGGCTCATGCCTGTAATCCTAGTTATGCAGGAGGCTGAGATTTGAGGATTATGGTTTGAAGCCAGCCTGGATAGACAAATCCCCAAGAGGTGAAAGTGTGGCTCAATAGGCAGAACTCTAGCCTTGAACAGAAAAGCTCAGGAACAGTGCCCAGACCCTGAATTCAATCCCCAGGACTGGCGCTCTCTCTCTCTCTCTCTCTCTCTCTCTCTCTCTCTCTCTCTCTTACACACACACACACACACACACACACACACACACACGCATGCACAGTTACATGAGCAAGATAATGAGTACATTTCTCACCCAGCATTGTTGGCTCCTCTTTTGTTTTTTCCCTACCATCCCTTCCCTCCCACCTCCTCAACTACACCCCACGCCCTCTGCATGAGTTTGAAAGGCAGAGGTAGACACGGAAGTTGTACTCTGGGAAGGGACTTGGCCTATTGGGATATAGTAAAGAGGATGGATCCTTGGGACAGTGAGTGGGCAGTAGATCACTGAAGTAGATCAGTGGAGGCCCAATCAGCATGGCCTCATAGGCCATGGATTCTATCTACACTTCAGGTATTTGGGATTTATTTGGTGGTATTTGTGTTTGTTTGTTTTGTTGGTTGTGGGGCTTGAACTCTGGGCGTGGGCACTGTCCCTGCACTCTTCAGCTGAAGGCAAGCACTCTACCTCTTGAGCCACAGCGTCATTTCCCATTTTCTAGTGGTTTATTGGAGATCAGCGTCTCACGGGCTTTTCTGCCCAGGCTGGCTTTGACCCTTGATCCTCAGATCTCAGCCTCCTGAGTAGCTAGGATTGCAGGCATGAGTCACCGGCGCCCGGCACTGCATTTGTGTTTTAAACAAGACAAAGGTAAGATCTTATTCTCTCCCCTCCTCTTTTCTCTGAAGAGGAGAAGGAGGAGGAAGAGGAGGAAGAAGAAGAAGAAGAAGCAGCAGCAGCAGCAGCAGCTGTGTGCCCTGTGGCTCATGCCTGGGCACAAAAGTCTGTGAGACTGTTATCTCCAATAAACCACTCAGAAAACATGAAGTGGAGCTGTGGCTCAAGTGGTAGAGTGCTCGCCTTAAGCTGAAGAGCTGAGGGACAGCGCCCAGGCCCAGAGTTCAAGCCCCAAGACCGAAAAAAAAAAGGTCATTCCCTGACTTCTGGGCAAATTGTGAGTTGTGGAAAGAAGGCTAGAAGCAAGAAGAACAGATTATTAGACCAGAAAAGTGATAATGGATGCTTAGACTAGGATGGTAGTCTTGGAATTTGAGGGAAATGAATTGTGGACTTGTGAATTGTGGGGACTTGGTGTCAGGATTAGGGACAGAATGAGCTGGGTTAATATGGGTGTGTCTGTGACACAAATCTGCTGATGGATTGGAACAGGACATAGGGTACATTGATGCCAGGGGTATGGCTTTCCTAAATGCAGGGAGGGTGATACTATTTAGTCTTTTACCTGGGGAAGGTAAAATTGTGTGTGTGTGTGTGTGTGTGTGTGTGTGTGATAACTTAAATACTACTAGAGACATGAACTCAGAGTTTTGAAATATGATGGGAGTGTGGATCTAGGGGATCTGGGTGTGGGCCAAAGGAAGCCCCCTTGGTGAGGAGGATGAAGAAAGGGGGTGAGGCTCCTCAGAAACCCATGCCAGGGTTGGTGGACCTTGAGGTGCAAAGGCTGAAGGGAAGACCTTAAAAGTAACAAGGGCTTTTCAAGACCATAAGACTCCAGGCAGACCTTTCAACACACGCCTGTTCTTTGGTATCGGTTAGTGTCTAATAAGGCCCAAGATGTACCTGTCTTCCTCTGCATCTGGTTCTTTGTTGGCTTCAGGCATCTTTCTCACCTGGCTTGCACTGGCTTTTCCAGCTCAACGGGAATTAGGAAAAGGTCTAGGACCAACCTTGTATCTCTTCGTCAGAGGCATCGTCTCTCAGGTGTCCAGTGACTCAGTTTCCCTGTCACCTTCTGAGCTCCTCATCATTTCACACCCTGAGAGCGCAAGGACTGGTAATATGCATATGTAAATGACGAGCCGAAATAATTACAGGCTGAATCAGTGGCTACACTAGAAATAGAACCCAGGCGTCTCGACTCAGAAGCCCTGGGTTCTTCCTATCGCCCAGACGACGCTGCGTCCACCCAGTGGCTCGGACCTTCCTGGACATTCTCAACAATAACAGAGGTTCAGCTCTCAAGTGTGCTCCCGGCGTTTCCGCCCAGTGCACGCAGCCAGACACGGCGTGGGCGGGGGAGAGGGCGTGGCCTTCTCGTGTCTGGGCGGAGCTTCTTCGTGGGCGGGGCCTCCTGGAGTTCCGGAGTCGAGTCGCTGGCCTCCTGGGCCGAAGCAGACATGCAGCCGCCGCCCCGAAAAGTGAGATGGGCCGGGAAATAGGGTCTCCTGGTGGGCTGGCGGTACGGAGGGATCGCAGAGGGTACTCGACCCGGGGTGGGAGACAGCGGGTAGGAAGGGGTCAGAGGCTAGTCCAGATGTAACCGAGGAAACAACACAGCCGCTCCCGACCCCGCCCCCTCACCGCTCCCGTGCAGTGATTTCAGGTTTCCAAGCCGGGGCGGAGGGGAGGGGGGGTGTCTTTATTCTCCCCTTAATCTTACAGGTGAAGCCGGCCCAAGAGGTGAAGCTCCGCTTCCTGGAGCAACTGAGCATCCTTCAGATCCGGCAGCAGAGGGAGGCGGATCTGCTGGAGGACATCAGGTAGCCTCTGACCCCTCCCCTTCACAGATCTCCTCATTCGCCCCAGCAGAAAGTCCCCTTTCTTCCCCCACCCTCACCACACAAATGCCGGTTGGGGGCGGGGAGACTGGGGTCAATAGCTCATCCACAGCCTTCATCCAAAGCCAGCCGCTCCAGATACTGGAGGTACACATAGATAAACAGAGGGATCCTCCCTTAACCTCCTTGACCCCTCCCCACGCCATTCTTCCCACCCCCACAATCAATCTTAGGGAAAAAATCCCCTCCCTCTTCCAGACCTGTTGGAAGGCTGGCGGATACCACACCCAGCCCCCTTTCCCCCCATCAGTCCTCATTTCCAAGCCCACAGATGACCCTTCAGGGGTGGGGAGGATTCTGCTGGGGCTCTGAGCTATAAGGTGAGTCTGTCCTGTGTTGCAGCTGCCCGAGGTGATCTCAAGGACTCGGTTTCTTAAGTCCCATTCCCTCTGGGTGTAGTCATAGTCCAGGCTGGCTCCTTCCTTCCTCCAGCTCAGGTTGAGAAAGGATTTAGGGTAGGAGAACTGGACCACATGGAAACCCCTCTTCTTTCCCCAATCGCCACAGATCCTACAGCAAGCAGAGGGCGGCCATTGAACGGGAGTATGGGCAGGTATGGGACACTTCTTTTTATCTTCCCTCCAGCTCTAGCCTCCTTTAACTACCAGCAGTGTCCCTCTCTTATTATGATCAAGAGTAAATGCCTGGAGTCAGGCAGACAAATCCCTGCTGTGCTAACTTATTAGATATGTGATCTTGGACAGATCAGTTAACATTTTTTACCCTCAGTTTTCTTGTCTGTAAAATGGGAATAATAATAATACCTAAATTTCATGTAGGATTATTGTAAAGAGTAAATAAACTAGTGAGCTCAGGAAGGTATCTAGCAAAGCAACTAGTATATATTATGCATCCCAAGAATGGCATTATTATACCTCAGGCCCAAATTCTCCCAGATAAAGTGAGTCTTGCAAAAGGAACTGGATTTGTGATGGTTTTCTCACCAGGCACTCCAGAAACTGGCTGGGCCATTCCTGAAGAGGGAAGGGCAGCGAAGTGGGGAGATGGACAGCAGGTGAGTCTTACTGGGAAGCTGGAGGTGATAGGGAGCTTAACTCCAGAGACCTGTAGGGGATGAAGGACCCTCGTGAGGGGACAGGGCACGTGAGTGTAGGTAGAGCTGACACAGCAGCAGCAGGAGAGGAGCTGACCTAGCAAGGACATTGTGGGTAGGGGTGGAGGGCATGAGTGATCTTGTGGCTGAGCTAATGGGCTGATCGATTGATGGGCTCCCAGACGAAGGAGGAAGGGAAATCACTCTGTCTCCCATGGTGTTGGGGAGGGGGTGTCTTGGGAAGCTATGCAGTGTTCCTCTCTTCAACACAGACTTTCTCTGGGGAGGGACAGGACAGTGTTTGGTGCCTGGCGCTGCCTGCTGGATGCCACCATGGCTGCAGGCCAAACCCGACTCCAGGCGTCTGACCGATACCGTGACCTAGCAGGGGGCACAGGGCGGAGTGCCAAGGAGCAGGTGCTTAGGAAGGTATGGCTTAGTGGATGAGATGAAGGAACCTCATTTGGGAGTGGAGGTGGTCTGGGTCAAGACCTTGTGTGCCCATGCTGTAGGGGACAGAGAGCCTCCAGAGAGCACAGGCAGAGGTGCTGCAGTCTGTCCGGGAGCTGAGTCGAAGTCACAAGCTATATGGACAGCGAGAACGTGTATGGGCCTTGGCACAGGAGAAGGCAGCTGATGTCCAGGCCAGGTGGGTTCATGAGCATTTTGGAGACTTGAAGTGGGGCATGAGGTGGTGTGGAGAGGCAGTAAATCATTAAAGTTGGGTCTGACTAGGACTCCTTTCCCTCACTTGCACAGGCTGAACCGAAGTGACCATGGCATCTTCCACACTCGGACCAGTCTCCAGAAACTGAGCACCAAGGTTAGGGGAATGAAGGCATGAGTTGAGGAATGGGAGTTAGAGTACCCTAGTGGTTTGTATCCAAGGGCATAAGTTTAAGACACTGTGTTGAATCTAAGCTCCTCAACTTCCTAGATGAGTGACTATGGTTAACCTACTTGATTTCTCTGAGCTATATTTTTTCACTTATACAATGGAAACAATGCCTTTTTCTTTTTTGTTCTTTTATATGTATTTATGGAGGACCTCTGTGTGCTATGCAGTTGTATATCAGAGAGCAGGACCAATAGAGTTCTGCCCTCATGGCCTGGTGGAGGGAGATAGAGTATGATTAGATGAGGATGGAAGTAAAACTAGGTAATACAAGCGTGTGATTTAGAGAGAGGGTCTTTCTGAATGGATCACATGGGTGTCAAGAAGGACCTATCCTTGGCAGAAGAACATTCCAGGGAGAAGAAATGGTGAATGCAAATGCTGAGGTAGGAGTAACTTTGGCTCAAGGAAATAAGAGAATAACAGTGTGCCCAGAGCATTGTGAGCAAGAGACAAGCTCTTGAAAGTTCAGAAGTAAGAAAAGATGCAGGAGACACCTCATGTTGGACCTGGTAGACCAATGTAAGGAACAGTTTGGATTTTATTTTACATGTGTGCAGAAGCCACTGGAGCATGTGTGTGTGTGTGTGTGTGTGTGTGTGTGTGTGGTGTGCGTGCGTGCATGCGCGTGCATGTGCGCACATGTGTGCTGGTACTTGGGCTTGAACTCAGAGCCTGGAAACTGTCTCTTAGATTTTTCCACTCAAGGATGGTACTCTACCACTTGAGACACAGCTCCACTTCTGGGTTTTTGGTGGTTAATTGGAGATAAGTGTCTCACTTTCTTCCCTGAGTGGCTTCAAACCATGAGCTCCAATCTCAGCTTACTGAGTTGCTAGAATTACAGGTGTGAGTCACCAATGCCAGGCTGCCACTAGAGGATTTAGGTTTGTTGCCACACATGTAGTAAGCTCTCAGTGTGAGAATCTATTGCGTACCTGGGTTTTTGGTTAGCCTTGGAAGGACCCTGTTGACTCTTATTTTCTTCTTCTAGCTCTCTGTCCAGTCAGCCCAGTATTCCCAGCAGCTGCGAGCAGCCCGTAATGAGTATCTGCTAAACTTGGTGGCCACCAATGCCCACCTTGACCACTACTACCAAGAGGAACTGCCAGCTTTGCTCAAGGCCAGTCCTAACTCGGATTATCCTTGCTCCTCAGCAAAAGGAGAGGGTCCCTGTTTGCCATGTTCCCTGAGGTGGTTGATGGTGCTAAGGACTTTACTTGCTTAGTTAGGGTTTATACGAGATATATATTGAGTTCAGGTTCTGCTTTTAGCTGGCTTTATCATGCAGGACACTTAACTCCCTCAAACTCTACATTCTTCATCAGCATTAAGCCCAGGTCTGCTAATATTATAATATTCATGAGGTTTAAAGAGAATGGATGTGAAAGTTTCTTTTCTTCTTCTTTTTTTAATCGACTCAGTCATAGGGCTTGAACTTAAGAGCCTGATGGTCTCTGTCCCTTAGCTCTTTTTGCTCACTTTGAGCCATAGTATCACTTCCAGTTTTCTGGTGATTAACTGGAGATAAGAGTCCCATAGACTGTCCTGTCTGGATGGCTTTGAGCGCTGTTCCTCAGATCTCAGCCTCCTGAGTAGCTAGGATTACAGGCATGAGCCACTGATGCCCAGCTCAAAGTGTTTCTTAAACTGTTGAGTGCTGTATACACATGAGGGCCTAAGATTAGAAGAAGCAATGTATGTTTCTTTCCCTCCTTCCTGTCCCTCATGCCCATCTCCTGTTCAAACCTGGACAGCATTCCAGTGGGGACCTGGGGAAGGTGATATGAGTATGTTGGGGTTCTCTCTAGGCCTTGGTAAGTGAGCTGTCAGAACACTTGAGAGATCCTCTGACCTTACTGAGCCGCACTGAACTGGAAGCTGCAGAGATGGTCCTGGAACATGCCCGCCATGGGGGACAGACAACATCTCAGGTGAGGCTGGGGTCCGTGAGAGCTCCTTAGAGATCCTTTGAACCCTGTTCTTCCAATACAGACCTTGTTATTGCATGTCTATCCCATCCCATCTCACTTGTCCTCTTTCTACCAAGAGGTGCTGGAGACAGTGCTGGAGAGGGTGCCAGTGAGTGAGTGACTGTGCCTTTTCCCACCATTAGGTAAACTGGGAGCAGGATGTGAAGTTGTTTCTTCAGGAGCCTGGCGTCTTTTCTCCCACTCCACCTCAGCAGTTTCAGCCAGCAGGGGCTGATCAGGTAAAAGTTCCCTCCCCTCAGCAGTTTCAGCCAGTAGGGGCTGATCAGGTAAAAGTTCCCTCCCCTCAGCAGTTTCAGCCAGCAGGGGCTGATCAGGTAAAAGTTCCCTGCTTGTTATTGTAATACACTTGTAATACACTTGTCCTAAGTTAATAAACTCAGTGACTGTTAAACTTTGGAGAAGAGGCTTCAGAATTCCAGTTTCCCTCCCTCCCATGAGGACATACAAACATACCTCAGATTAAAGTTCAGTCACTTCACTGCACTATCCTCTTTGTCTGGTTCTCCAATCCTGATTCTGTTCTTGAGACTGTGTTCACACCAATTTATAATTGTGTCCACAGACATGACCATATACCCCTTTTCTCTTTGCTCCTGTCCTTGAGAGGCAAAATGAGAGAACTGATGAGAAAGATGGCCTCACATTCTCCTCACAGCATGCCCCTGTCCATTCAGGTGTGTTCACTGGAGCAAGGAACAGGAGACGTGGCTGAGGATAGTGGCCTGGAGAAAGAGATCCAGCGTTGGGCAGGTCGGGCTGCCCGAGACTACAAGATCCAACACCATGGGCATCGGGTGAGGTGGGGGTGCAGGTGTTGTGGGTGGGCAAGAAATGCTGAGTGATGGGGATCTCAGTATCACTGGGGTGTCATAAGGTTATAGACAGGCTGGGAGGAAAGATATTTTAACACATGGTATGACACAATAATTAAGAGTACAGCCTTCAGTGGTAGACCAACCTAGGTTCAGATGAAATCTGTTGCTTGCCAGCTCTGTGACCCTGGGTAAAGGAGTGACTTCACCTCTCTGGACTTCAGTTTCCTCATCACTAAACTGAGCCAATAATAACACCTACATCATAGGGAAGATAAATGATAAACTGCAAATGATGCAACTAGCCAAGTACAGGTCCAGAGTAAGTTGTGGCCCACAGTATTTCCACCCACTTCTGCCTTTCTCACCAGGTGCTGCAGCGACTGGAGCAGAGGAGGCAACAAGCTCCAGAGCGAGAAGCCCCAGGCATAGAACAGAGGCTACAGGAAGTGAAGGAGAGCATTCGGAGGGCACAGGTGAGGCATAGCCCTAGGCTTAGCACCACTGAGATCCCACCTCCTCAGTCAACTCTGAGAGGGGAAGCAGAGGGACACAGCTGGCCAGGTTCCATTAACTCCCTTTTTTCCTCATGTCAGGTGAGCCAGGTGAAGGGAGCTGCCCGGCTGGCCCTGCTGCAGGGGGCTGGCCTGGATGTTCAGCACTGGTTGAAGCCAGCCATGACTCAGGCCCAGGATGAGGTGGAGCAGGAGCGAAGGCTTAGTGAGGCCAGGCTGTCCCAGAGGGACCTCTCCCCCACGGTGAGCTTCTTCCCACCTCTCACTGTACATACTTAGGAGGGTAAAAGTTCCCAGTTGAAGGCAGACCGTCTGAAATGGGAATCACAGCAGTACCTGACTCAGAGGGTTGTTGTAAGGCTTAAATGAAACCATTCATATAAAATTCTCCATAGGTTTCTGGCATAGAGAATCCTCAATAATTATTTACCCCTGCAGAACTGGGGATTGAAACCAGGGCCTTATATTTACTAGGTGAACACTCTAGTACTTGAGCTACACCTCTAACTCCTCAATAAGCTTCTACTACAAATATAATATGTTGGTGAAGAACCAAGGTTCTGGGAGCACCCTGTGAGTGACTTCAGTATCAGGCATTCATTGGCTGATGATCTTGGAAACTGAGTTAACCAAGCCTTAACTTCTTCAAAAGTAAAATGAGGTTAATAATACTGGTCAATAATACTGGGTTCATATAATCTCTCCTGTAGAAGATCTTTTATGACAAACAATATGTATATAAATATTTATATATAATTATATATGTATATACATATATGTGCATATATAGTAAATGTGTGTGTGTGTGTGTGTAAAGATACTACAGTGCTTTCAGGTTCTGGTGGCTCATGTCTATAATCCTAGTTACTCAGGAGGCTGAGATCTAAAGATCACAGTTTGAAGCTAGCCAAGTTAGACAAATTCAAGAGACATTTATTTCCTATTACCTAGCAAAAAAATAGTGTGGCTTGAGTGGTAGAGTGCAGCAATCGAGCAGAAAAACCTAATCAAGAATGGGAGGCCTTGAGTTCAAACTCCAGTATCAGCCCCAAAATAAGATACTTTACATTGGACTGTATACATATTAAGTACTCGATTTTAAATAGTATTTTTCAATTTCACCCTGCTCTGTGGTGCTTCTGATTATGAGAATTGATGATTGGTTGGGAGATTCAGCCTTAAAGGACAGTTCCCATTGTGTGGGGGAGTGGGAGGTACAAGAAGTACTTGAGAGTGGGCTCCATGGTGATGTGCTCTTTACTCCCCAACAGGCTGAGGATGTTGAGCTTTCTGATTTTGATGAATGTGAGGAGACTGGGGAGCTTTTTGAGGAGCCTGCCCCTCCAGCCCTGGCTACCAGGCCCCTCCCCTGCCCAGCACATGTGGTATTTGGCTATCAGGTATAAAGAAGGGACAGGACTTCGGATGGGCAGTGGGAGTGGGAGTCCAGCAAACTCCTGAATCTTTCCCTGTGGACTCAGGCAGGGCATGAGGATGAACTGACCATCATGGAGGGTGAGTGGCTGGAGGTCATAGAGGAAGGAGATGCTGAAGAATGGGTCAAGGTGGGTATACAATTCTGGATTACAATCTTGAGTTGGGGGTCAGTGGGAGGACTTCTCTGTGGCCCATAAGGCCCACTCCTGGCTTTCCTCCACTCTCAGAAGGCTGAGTGGAGGAGCCAGGGCCATAAGCTGTTTCAAGATAAGTCTGATATGTTTATATTGCTGGATGAACAGGCTCGGAACCAGCATGGTAAGGTAGGCTTTGTTCCTGAGCGGTATCTCAACTTCCCGGATCTGTCCCTTTCTGAGAGCAGCCATGACAGTAACAATCCATTGGGAGCAGAACCCACTGGTAAGAAAGGTTAATTTTGGGTATGGGTACCCTGAGTATGGAGACAAATTATTTGGTGGTGTGGGTCTGATGGTATCACTGCCCATCCCCTTCTCTCACCACCTCTTCTGGGCATCTACAGCATTCTTGGCCCATGCCCTGTACAGTTACACTGGACAGAGTGAAGAGGAGCTGAGCTTCCCTGAGGGAGCACTCATCCGCCTGCTACCTAGGGCCCAAGATGGAGTGGATGATGGTTTCTGGAGGGGAGAATTTGGGGGCCATGTTGGAGTTTTCCCCTCCTTGCTGGTAGAGGAGTTGCTTGGTCCCCCAGGACCACCTGAACTCTCAGACTCTGAACAGGTGAGGCCTCATTTTTCCTGGGTCCCCAGGTACTTCTAGGGTACGGCCTTGTATTTAACTTAATGCTCCCTCTTCTCCCCAGGATTTCCTCCTATGGTGGCTTACGTCTCTCTATCCTCTGGGCAGAGGAAAGAGAAACCAAGGCAAGCTTCCTAGGAATTCAGAGGATTTTAGTGCTGGATAGATCTCAGTTCAAATTTCTACCACAAGGCCTTGAGCAGTGATCTTAGGCAACATCTCTGAGCTTATGTTATGTGTAAGGTGGATTTATATTCATTGTTAGCTGTTTCAGCAGTTTCACTGTCATGAATAGAAGTATACCTCTTATCCCGATAGCACACAGAAAATACTTAAAAATCTTCATGTTTTTTTCCATGCTATAGAGGAAGGGCTTAACAATGGGAGTCAGGAGACCTACATTGTAGCCACACTATGCCACTAACTGACCCTGTGATCTTGGATGGATGGCTTAACATAATCTTACCTCTAACATAAAGTCATAAAAATGCCTATTTGATATGATAGTGATGAGGGTTGAATTAGTGTATACGCAGTGCTAGCAAAATGCCTGCAACATTAGTATATCATCTTCAAAATGTATTGGCTGTTGAAATATGTATAAGTTACAATCCTGGCCTGAATATAAACATTTGGCCACTTCCTACAGTGAGTGTGATAGAAGAATTGTAGATAGGAGAAAAGCTGGTAAAACTTTCCCATACCAGGAATAACTCTGTGCCCATCCTGCCTCCAGATGATGCCATCTCCTTCTCCTCCCAGTTTCTCTCCTCCTGCACCCACCTCTGCCTTGGGTGGACTCTCTGCACCTGCCCTTCCTGGGGGTGAGTAGAAGGACTTGGGGGTTCTGTAATGAGAAGAGATGTGAAGAGGAAGTATGGACCCTAAGGCCATACTCTGCTTCTCTGTTGGCCCTCACTATACCTTGCACTAGGTCCACTGCAGGTTAGTGGGAAGAAGAGCTTGAGATGTGGAGTTAGGCTGACCTAGTTGAACTGTTCTACCTGTCCATGCTTTGTTATTTTGTTCTTTTGAGAGTTAAAAAAAAGGAAAAAGATGTTTCTAGCCAGGCACAGGTGGCTCATGCCTATAATCCTAGGCTGTTCAGGAAGCTGAGATCTGAAGATTGTGGTTTGAAACCAGCCTGGGCAGGAAAGTCTTATCTCTACTAAACAATTCAAGAAAGTTGGAAGTAGAGTGATCGCCTTGGAGTGGGAGGGGAGGGGAGCTCAGGGACAGTGCCCAGGCCTTCATTCAGTTCAAGCCCCAGGACAAGTACCAGAAAAAAACAAAAACAAAACCCTCAACGTTGTGCTTGGCATATTGTAAATATGCAGATAGTAGCTCCGTCTTATTATTTCAAAATGTATCTATCATCTTCCATTCCATTTTCCAGGAAAAGTACCACTTACTCTTAGTATCTCTGAACCTTGAAAATGCTTAGCTTAATTTCACTTTTATCTTTATTTTTTTTTCTTTACTTCTTTTTTTTTGTGGTGCTGGAGATCAAACCCAGAGCCTTGCATATTCTAAGCAAGAACTTCTTTTACTAAGCCATGTCCCCAGTCCCTTTTTCCCTTTTCCTTCTGGAATGTCTACCTTTTCTAAAACCTTCTAGACTTTACCTTCTCCACAGAGGCACCCTCCCTGATCCTCTGAAGTTAACCATCTCTAACCACACCTATCTCACTTTGAATAACTTAGTACTAAGATAGTCACCGTGTGTGTTGATGTTTAATAACTGGGTTCCTGAGAGCTATTGGGGAGAGCTGTATCTCCCACCTTTTCTTTCTTTTGGTATTTCAGGCATAACTGATTACATAGCAGTTGCTCAATAAGTGTTGAGGCTCGATGGATGGATTTTGTGACTGAGGTTCATTACTATTCATTAATTCAACAAATATTTACAGTGTTACTGTCCTAAGTACTGGAGATGCAGGATTACACAAAACAATGCCTGAAGACTAACTCTTGGTTCTTGTTCCCAGACACATCCTTAGACTGTTCTAAAGCCTTGGACTGTCCTGGCCCCCTGGACATGATGGTGCCTCGACTCAGGCCGGTAAGAGTCCCTGCCTTAGAGGGAACTGCAAAGGGGGTCATTCCAATGGTTCTGTTTTGTCTGCTAGGACAAGTATATCCGCTAGGGAGGGCTCTGAAGCACTAACTTTGTGTTCCCTACAGATGCGTCCACCACCTCCCCCACCAGCTAAAGCTCCGGATCCTGGCCACCCAGATCACTTCACCTGAAGGCCAGGGGAACCACTGCCCCAAATAATGCTGCTGCCCTATCTCCATGCTGTCAGAGACTACTCCCTCAATGATGTGGAGCAACACAGCCAAAAGCTAGAATCTCTTGTGCCCACTCTTAACTCCCCTCTCCTTTCTGGGGCTAGGATTGACTCCTCTTTTCCATTGTTCTCCTGAAATTCCTAGGACTGGAATTATCCCCTTTGTCTTCTGCCATCACCCCATCTCTAGAGTGGTAAAATACCCCCCCCATCTCTGGGGCTGGAACCCACTCCCCAAAGTCTTGCGTGGTTCTAGCCCATCTCTATCTCTACCTTGGTTTATGGCCCATCCTGGTCTGGATGCCAAGGTCACTAGGCTTAGTGCCAGGAGAGGAACAGGCCTTGGAAGTCAGAAGGAGCTGGAGCCAGTATGTGAAGCAGCTGTAATGGTTTGAGCGGATTTATTGACAGTGAATAAAGGGCAAGAAGTCCAAGCCAAGTCTTGAGACTCTAGTGCCAACAGGGCAGGGAGCCTAAGGTGCTATTGCTTTAGGGGCCCACCAAGGGCAAGGGCCTGGTCCCAGTTGCCACTCTCTAGCATGTGGAGTGAGGCATTGGGGAAGAGACAGGCCAGGCATTCTGTTGTCAGGTTGAAAAGGGGTATGAGACTGAGGGGCAAGAGTATGGGGATGGGAAGGGGGGATTTCTGAGGTCCCTCAGCCTGAGACCATGCAACTCCAGGTAGAAGTAGAGCTGGTCCCTCAACGGAGGGGCATTGCTGCCCAGTGGAGGGGAGGGTCTTCATGACCATCCACCCCCTGGTCCTGCCAGTTGGTAGTCAGTCCATCAGCACAATGAAGAATGAGGCTTGGAGGAGAGGAAGGGGAACAGTGTTGCTTCCTGTTGAAGTTTTGTCCCCACTTTCCCCAGGAGCTTCAGGACCCTTCTTAATCACTGGAACACCCACCACCAGCTAAGGAATCTGAAGCACAGGCTAACTCTGGGGAAATGGGAAGCTGATAGGCTTAGTTCGGATAGAGGGTGGAAGGGTGAGATTACCTGACGTAGGTCTCAGGCAGACTCACCTCACAAGCCCCCTGGTCCCTGTGGTGGAGACACCTAGAGATGGGGGGGGACATTGACAATGGGAACAGTAGGTGGATCGTAATTAGTGCTTGTCAGAATAGGGCAATAAGACTGAGCCCATCATAGCTCATGGTAACCCTGGCCATGTCTTCATACCTGCAGATCTGAGGTGTCCAGTTTGCTTGGCTCTCCATTTGCTCCTTGACTAGGCATCCCTGAGCTTGGGCCCCTCCCTCTGGCCCCTGGTGTTGGTTCTGCAGAGGCTCCAGGGTTCCCCTCAAGTGCAGAAGGGACTAGGTTGGTATCCCTGAGTCCTCCATTCTGCACCAGGGGACTGGCTAGATCCTGGGGCTCCTCAGGGGGCAACCTCTCAACAGCAGGCAGCTCTGTCCTGGATTGCCCTCCAGACCCTTGACCACCCCCTGGATCCTGCCCCCCACCAGAGCCCCAGCTTCTGTCCGTGGGGGAACCATCACGATGCTCATGTAGCCCATAACGCTTCTCAATGTGTGTCACTCGGAATCTGGAAGAGGAGAGAATACTGAGACTTAGGCCCTCAACTCAACAAGCAGCTGAGCCTACCCCTCCAACCAGACATCCTGGGTTTGATGGTCACTTCCCTTTGACCTCTGGGGTAGGGGAAGCTTTCTCAGATGGTGAGGCAAATTTTGCAGCCTGACCCTTGCTGCAGTTCCAGTCCGAGAGAAAAGAGCTGGGGTTCACCTTTGGGGTCAGGTGCCTTATTATTGGGATCCCCACCTCAGCCTCCCTTTTCCTGGGCACCATAGTCCCACCTTCCCACTGAGAACACAGTGGTCTCCCCAGTCCGGGGGCGGCTTTTTCCTTCCTTAGAGCGTCCCTGTCGGACAAGCGGGGGCCTCTTGCCACGGCTGCAATGGATGCAAGGGGCTGATGAGCCCAGATGCACGGTGTGATGATGGGAGGGCGCTCCATCCTGCAGGCTGGAGGTGGCATCCACGCTGGATAGTAGGGAGGAGAGCAGAAATTGTATTTCCATTTCCCTTTCTGTTCTCTTCCCTGTTCTTTTAGCATGCCCCCAGAAGCCCTTGTTTCCCAAGCCCAGTTCCTTTTAATCTAATAAATTCAACATTAAGATATGAATGACTATGTGTTCTTCCTTCCAGCCCTGTTTGCTAAAAGAGGGTAATGGTTAACTCCAAAGAGTTGTACTAGATGTGAATGCTAGCCTTGATAATACATGGGAGACATGGTTTGAAGGACTTGGAATTTCTACAAAACTTGTTTCTTCCTATGTTATAGGCAGCCTTGCTTTCCTCCCCATGCCTACCCCATCCCAAACATGCAAGGACACTAGGATAGGACTGTGCTGGAGGAGAGGGTACTCTCCAAGGCAAGCTAAGTCATGCTGGCCCTTGTTTCCAGCTCACCTGGACAGCTGTACTGTCCCTTCTCCTTCACTGTCCCCCAGCATCTCCTTCAAGGCCTCAGCATTGGCTGAGGGGAGAAGGGAAAGAGGGAGTCAGTGGAGGTGGAGGTCAGGGCAAGAGAAAGTCAGAGTGTGAGGCAGCAAGGGGCCAGCCTATACTCACCTTCATTTTGGATGATGCAGCGAACAATCCTCTCTACCGTGTCCTCATTCACATCATCGTCCTCAGCTGAAGGATGAAAGAGGTTGGCAAGAAAGCAAGAAATGAGTCAGCTTTAGGGGAACATGAGCTGATGGCCCCCATGGCCAATTGATTGCTCAGGATATCCCTTTACCCATTTGCCATCATGCTGGGAAGTTTTAGCATTTCAGGGCCCATAGAGATGGGGAAGTCAATGGGAGGCTAGGACTACCAGCAGTGAGCAGTGGACTGTTGCTGCCCATGCTGCCTTCTCTATCCTTGCTTTCAGGGTGTTATCATCTACTTGCTGACTTCAGAATGCATTGCTAGGTTTCTTACAGGCCTGATCAGGATTTGGCTTCGGTCGTAGGTCAAGGAGGCAGAAAGGTGTGGTAGGGAAAGGAGTAAGGCAGAAAGTTGACTGAGCCAGGATTCCAGGCTGTTCACTCACGGAGCTGGAGCTGGGCGTCGTCAGGCTCTGAGCCCCTGGACGTGCGACAGCGGTAGCCTTTCTTCTTTAGCACGTGGCAGATCATGAAGCCTACAAGGCCCATGAGGAAGAAGACCAGCACAAGCAGGAAGAGCATGTACAGCCCATGTTGGGGCGGCTCCAGGTCAGGCTGTGGTTCCGACATGAGGCCCTGGGGGGCGAGCGCGGGCCAGGGCGCTTCCTGGGTTTAGGGGGCTGCAGCTAAGGATGGGAGTGGGGTATAAATGCAGTTCTCAAGATCCCACAGGCAAGCCTCAGAAACTCTACCCCACCCCTACCCAACCAGGGAGCTGTCCGGGCCCAGGGTGCTGGTCGGCCAAGGCCGCCCGAGGCTGGAGGCCAGATGGCAGCTACGCAAGCCTTTGGCCCCAACCAGGTCCCACTTCTCCGGCGTCCAGACGGTTCCCCTTTCCAGCTCGTCCCCCGCTTCTGTCCCTCCCAAGGACACTGCAGCGTGGGAAGGGACGGAATTCTCAGGCGGCGGGCGCAGAAATCGCGCTCGAGTCAGCATCCATCTCAACCTCCTCCGCGTTGGCCTGAGCCAGGCCTTCGGCAGCCCCCTCCTCCCGGTACTCCTGAATCCCTCCCTGCCTTTTCGATTCCTCCCACCCTGACCACCATGCCCACCCGGTACCGATGATCTGGTTCTGGCTCCGGCTCCGGCTCGGGTTCCCGTTCCAGGGGCGTCCTAGTCCGGCTCAGGGCCCCCGACGCCCTCCCGGCGCTCATCCCTTGATTCCTCCCCCTCCCCCCTTCTTCGCAGCCTCACCGGCTCCGAGCTTGTGGCTGCGGATACCCGTGCCGCGGCAGGCGGGGGGAGGGAAGGATGGCGGAGGAGGAGGACTGATTGGGAGCCGAGGGAGCCTCCGGACCACTGCGGTCCTGGGAAATGGCCCTGATGGGGAGAAGGGAGGGGGGCTGGGGGGTGCCTCCAAAGCCGCCTTGGGTTCCTAAATGTCTTCTCCCGTTGCCGGCCTGGGACCAAAGGGCGGAGCGCAGGTGTGCGGGGAGCGTGAGCCTCGCGCGCGTGTAAGCGCAAGTAAGATGCGCGCGTGACTGCGCCGCGCCGTCTCCCCCACCCCGGGAGTGTGTGCGGCGCCGAGTCTGTGTCCGCGCGGGGGTTAGGAGGCCGGGTGCGGGTGGCGTGTCCTCCAGTGGTCTATCCTGCACGCCTGACGCAGTTCCTGCCCTCAGATACCCCGGACAAGTGGATAACTCGGAATCCTCCCAGCGGGTTGGGGAAAGCTGGCGTTCTGCACCTGAGAGGGGCAGCGTGGCCAGATCTTCCAAGCTTCTCAGGCAGGTGACCACGGCCCGCGCCTGTTTGGTGAAAGAGACTGGATGGGCTAGCTCGGCTTCCCGCGGATCTAATCCCCGCCCCAAAAGAAATGGCCCTCGCATCCTAGAACTGCAGCTGTACGTCCCCACCCCAGCCGGGAGGCTCAAGCCCCAAACCAGGACGTTCAAGCTAGGAGAGGGGCGGGACTCCCGCAGGGGGCGTGTCCGAGGCGTGGTCTCTGGAGGCGGGTCGAGAACTCCGAGTTCCGCAGAGGCAGGGTACGTGTTTACGTAACACGCAGTCCAAGGGCGGGGCTTGCGGCTAGAGGGCGGGCGGCGGTGGCTCGGGGCCTGGTCCCGCCGGTACCATGTCCAAAACTGTGGCCTATTTCTACGACCCCGACGTGGGCAACTTCCACTATGGTGAGCAACTTGGTCGTGCGCGAGGAGCTGGGGTGCAGAGATTTCTAAACAGGGGTTGCAACCCCAGGGGTGGAAGCTGACGAACTCTCTTTCCCCCCACTCTCAGGAGCTGGGCACCCTATGAAGCCCCATCGTTTGGCATTGACCCATAGCCTGGTTCTGCATTATGGTCTCTATAAGAAGATGATCGTGAGTCCCGCTGCTTCTGCTGGGGTTTGGGGCTGGGAGTGAGCGGTGGCCTTTGGATTGCGTGGGCTGTACTTGAATGCACTGAGTGCAACCCGCCCCCGGGAAGTAGACACCAGGAGCACTCCCGGTTGCGGGTGGCGTCCTCTGACATAATGGGAATTAACTCTTCACCCCAGGTCGTTCTCCCTTCAACCTCAGACCTTTGCCCTAGGTCTAGGGCTACGGTGATGTGGTGTGGGTTGAAGACAGATGTGAGCCTCCCCTGCAAATTATATTTATATATTTACTTATTCTGCCTTGCTGAGGATCAGAACCTAGAGATTTATGAATGCCAGGGAAATGCCTCTACCACTGAACTGCACCTTTAGCTCCCATGAATTTTAAGAACACAGTGCTCTGGCACTGGAGATGGGAAGCAGGGAGGCTTTATTACTATGTCTGAGTGTGGGGCTTACTCTGATTTACCACCGTTTTTCTTTTGCTACATTTCTCTATCTCCAAGGAGCTAGAACAGCAAATACAGCTCTGCAGCACTGTGAATAAGTTTGTGTTTGTGTGTGCATACAGCGAGAGATGTTCCGGGTAATCTCTTCTCAACCTAGAATAACTCTACACAGCTCTACTTAACTGATACCCATTTCTCTATCTCCTATATATACTTATACATATATATGCTATCTGTCCTAGCTTGGAATTTATAGTTGTAGAATAATAGCAGACTTGACCCTTATCACTATGAGGGTAATGAGGTGCAGTCAGTAGTTTGGTCATACAAGATAGGTAATGTTAGTGCAGAAAACTGAATCCTTTGAGGTTGTTTGTTTGTGTATTCTTGAGTACATTTTATAGAAGACAAGTTTTTTCTTTACCTAATTTTCAAAGGGATGTGTGAACCTCCCCCCCCCCCCCCCCCCACTATTGAGGATGGTAAGTATTTGGCTTAACAACTGGGAATTCAATTAGGTTGCCACACATCATCATTGTAAGGCATATTAAAGAGGTAGGTTTCATTAGGTAGCCGATGAGGAGAACACCACGCGCTATTCAGGCAGGAGAAGTTTATTTACTGAACTGCTTGCTGCCCCTGTGTACATGGTGGACAGACATGGCTGAAAAGGAAAAGGGGCGACCCACCCCTGGGCCAGGACTTATCTAGGCCAGGGACAGGAAGAGGTGTGGCCAGGAGGAGGAAAGGTGTGGCTACACTGGATCTGGACTTGACCTCAGTGCCTGGGACCCTCCAAAGGTCAGATGGGAGGCGGGTGTCCCGAGGTGGCCCAAGATGTGACCTAGCTGGAGGGGAAGGTGACTTCTTCCAGGTCTGCCAGTTACCTAGGTAACAGATACTGGGCAGAAACTTAGCCAAGAGGTAGGGAGGTATCCCTGTGCAGACCTTACAACCATGAAGAACTTAGGTGGGAAAAGAAAGAAACTAGGGGAGAGAGGGCAGAGTCAGAGCCTAAGAGAGGAGATGAGTATAGAGAAAATTAGGACAAGGAGATTTAGTGAACAGGGCTGGTGGATCAGGGCTCAAGGCTGAGGATGTAGGAGAAGCTGAACTGGAGGTGAGAAGATGAGGAAGTAATCTTCAGGGGTCTTGATTAAGATAGCTGACCTTTGTCTCAGAATAATGAGTGAAGGGTGGAAGGATTGTTGCACATTGTTTTGAACTGGTTTCAGTGTCAGACCCTGCCTAGTTCATCTTATGTCTCCATTCCCAAGGTCTTCAAGCCGTACCAGGCCTCCCAGCATGACATGTGCCGCTTCCACTCTGAGGACTACATTGACTTCCTGCAGAGAGTCAGCCCCACCAATATGCAAGGCTTTACCAAGAGCCTTAATGCCTTCAATGTGGGCGATGACTGGTGAGAGCACTTTGATGCCATATCCTTTAGTGAAGTCCTTTGGTAGCAGTGGGAGGATATAAAGGGGGCCCTGTGCTATATATGAGGGACACAGTGAAGAATAAGAGCAAAAATTTAATATTGCACCAGTACTAAGTCCTGTGAAGGAGACATTCAGGAACAGACCATTAAAGTGTATACTTGGCAGGATTATCTAGGCTAGTGTTGGAGATTGAGCTAAGATTGAGTAGGAAGTATTTGGGTAAAAGTTGATTTGAATGGAAGCAGTAAGGATGACAGTGCTAAGGGTCTGTGGTAGGATGGAATATGACTCATTTGAGGAATAGGGGAAAGGCAGAATGCAGAATAAGAAGAGAATGATATACATGGAGGCCGAAGGAGTCCTTTTAAAAGAAAACAAACAGCCCTGTTATGAATTGAGCTTTTTTTTTTCTCTCAGAGTAGAAGATAGTTATTAAAGTATTTTTAAAAGAAAAGGAGTGACTTGATATGATCAGATACAAGTAAGCTTGTGTGGCATATCTTGAGGGTTAGATACTATGGTAGAGAACAAGAGAATGGCAGCAAAGATGATCTATGATCCTTGCTTACATTGTAATAAACATCCATGAGAATAACCATAATAACTACCAAGTAGTTAGTTCTATTTAAACTTTTTTTTGTCAGTCATGGGGCTTGAATTCAGAGCCTGGGCAATGTCTCTGAGCTTTTTTGCTCAAGGCTAGAGCGCTACCACTTTGAGCTAAGGTGCTACTTCCAGTTTTCTGATGGTTAATTGGAAATAAGGGTCTCTTGAACTTTCCTGCCTGGGCTGGCTTTGAGTTACGATCCTCTGATCTCAGCCTCCTGAGTAGTTAGGATTACAGGCATGAGCCAACAGTTGCCCAGCTTAAACTTTTTTTAAGACAAATATCAAACATTTCTGAAGGTAGAGTAGAGCCGTGAAGTCATATATCATCCAATTTCAACACTTAACAAATAAATGCCCATACTTCATCTGTATCCTCTTATGTTAGATTATTTTAAGGCAATCACAGCCTAGTGTGGTGTTGAATGCCTGTAATTCCAGCATTTGTGTGGCAGAGATGGGATTCATAAACATTAAATAAGTACAATTCATCCATAGGTTTTTTTTTTTTTTGCTGGTCCTGGGACTTAGGGCCTGGATATTGTCTCTGAGCCTCTTTGTGTTCAAGGCTAGACGTTACCACTTGAGCCATAGCACCACTTCTGGCTTTTTCTGAGTAGTTTATTGGAGGTAAGAGTCGCACAGACATTTCTTCCTGGCTGGCTTCAAACCACAATCCTCAGATCTCAGCCTTCTATAGTAGCTAGGATTAATGGCGTGAGCCACTGGTGCCCTGGCTCCATAAACATTTTATTTTATATTTATATATGAATTCAGGACCTGAGTGCTATTCCTGAGCCTCTTTGTGCTCAAGGCTAGCACTCTACCACTTGAGTCACAGAGTGCCGCTTCTGGTTTTTGAGTGGTTAATTGGAGATAAAAGTCTTATGGGAACTTTTCTTCTTGGGATGGTTTGAACCATGATCCTCAGATCTCAGCCTCCTGAGTAGCTAGGATTACAGGTGTAAGCCACCGGCACCTGGCTTTTATTATGTATCTTTAAGTGCTACTTTTAAGTAATACCAGTATTAACACTTAAAAAAATTAATAGTAACTCTTTAGTGTTGTCAAGTATTCAATCAGTATTGATATCCCCAGTTGTCTTTATATATACATATAAACATATACATACACACACAACCTTAATTTACTTAAATCAAGATATAAATAAAATTGACATATTGCTTTTAATTGATGTGTCCTCAGACTTAAAAATTTGACTTTTTCCTCTCTTCTTTGAATTTATTTATTTATTTATTTATTTTGGTACCATCAAGGGGCTTGAGCCTCAGCACCTGGGTATTATCCCTGAATGTTTTTGCTCAAGGCTAGTGCTCTGTCACTTGAACCACAGCTTTATTTCCAGGTTTCTGGGTGGTTAATTGGAGTAAGTCTCACAGACTTAGCCCAAACTGGCCTTGAACTATGATTCTCAGATCTTAGCCTCCTGAGCAGCTAGGATTACAGGCATGAGCCACCAGCACTTGGCTTAGCCACTTAATTCTTATATCAACCTGAGACATAACAGTTCTTTTATTGATGTTGTATGTAAATAAATGGAGCTTGGGGAGATTTAGGTGGCCCAGGTGAGTCACCTAACTGGTTCGCCAAGGTGGTAGGATTTAGATACAGAGCCTTGGTTTTTTGTTTATTTTGTTTTGAGACTGGGCCTTGCTATATAACCCAGGTTGGCCTTGAGCTCACCAACTCCTTCCTCATCTCATCCTCCTGAGTGCTAGTATTAAAGATGTGCACCAATATGCTGTGCTTAGAAGCGGTATTTTCTTTCTTTTTTTTCAAAATTTTTATTGTGATTAAGTGGTTACATAATTTCCCAAATTTCACAGTATTGTGTGATAGTGATACTTAGTTAAAGTCACAAACACATTCTAACTTTCTTGGGGCAAATTGTCTATCATGATCTATAACATTTATGAGTTCTATGAGTTTTGCGATAGTTATTTCTTCAACATTGGGTGATATGTACATTTCTTTTGTTTTGCATAGCATCAGGTGTTCCCTCTTTCCCACTTGTTCCCTCCCTCCCATCGCTGCCATTGAATTGCTTAGTTCATTTTGATCAATGTCCAGTGCAGCTGATGGGTCCTGCTGTTGTATGTTTTTCCCTGATTCCCTCTAGTTCTGTGTAGTCCTCCTGGTTTCCCTCCGGTGTGCACATATATACCATATATGTGATCAGCAGCATGGGGTTATTTAATAGTGATTCGACTTGATGAGTGGAAGTCCTTTGTTTCTTAAGTCTTGTTAATTTTGTCGTATCACCTTACATTTTGGATTTAACATCCACTTATCAGGGAGACCATGTGCCGTTTGTCTCTTTGCACTTGGCTTACCCTGCTCAACATGATTTCTTATAGCTCCATCCATTTCCCTGCAAATGCCATTATTTTGTCCTTTCTAATGGCTGCATAATATTCCATTGTGTATAGATACCACAATTTTTGGATTCATTCATCTGTGGTGGGACATCTGGGTTGTTTCCATATCCTGGCTATTGTGAACAGTGCTGCAATGAACAGGGAGGTGCATGTCCTTGTATACTGGTTCCTGTTGTTCAGGATAGATGCCTAGAAGTGGTATGACTGGGTCATAAGGGAGGTCAATATTTAGCTTTCTGAGGACCCTCCAGACTGCTTTCCAAAGTGGTTGTATAAGTGTACATTACCACCAGCAGTGTAATAGGGTTCCTCTTTCTCCGCATCCCCTCCAGCATTTGTCGTTGGCTGACTTTAGGCTGTGGGCCATTCTGACTGGGGTAAGGTGGTATCTCAGGGTTTATTTGCATTTCCTTCACAACCAGGGATGGTGAACATTTCCTCATGTGTTTCTTTGCCATTTTTATCTCTTCTTCTGAGAAGTCTCTCTTTAGTTCCCTTGCCCATTTAGTAACTGCTTTGTTAGGTTTGGAAGGGATTAGTTTCTTGAGTTCTCTGTATATACTGAATATTAACCCCTTGTCTGATGTATTGCTAGTAAATATTTTTTCCCAGTTAGTTTGGTTGTCTTTCTAGCTTGGTTGCTATAACTTTAGCTGTACAGAAACTTTTTATTTTAAGGTAGTCCCATTTGTCAAGTCTTTCTCCAATTTATTGTGACCCTGGGACGCTGTTCATGAAGTTCCTGCCTGTGCCTATAAGTTCAAGTGTCTCTCCTACTCTGTCCTGCAGTAGTTTCAGAGATTCAGGTTTGATGTTAAGGTCTTTAATCCATTTTGAGTTGATGTTGGTGCATGGTGATAGGCTGGGGTCCACTTTTAGTTTTCTGCACTTGGCCGCCCAGTTTTCCCAGCACCAGTAGTTGAAGAGGCTGTGTTAGAAGGTGTATTTTCAAACCACCTCACTTACATGTTTCCCTGAAAGAAGCTACTGACAGAGGAGCTATGGCTTCAGGATAGAGACCAATATCTTCCCACCCTTACCTCTCAGCTCACCTGCACAGGATGCCTTCTTTGAATGACCTTGGCTCTTCATTCAACCTCTTCAAGACTTTCTGGCCTTCCACACTATCTCCTGTGAAGATAGTGGCTGACCTGTGGCTACCCCCCTCCTTTCCTCTTCCCACTCCCTTTCTCGCTCCTTCCCTTCCTCCCTCCCCCTCTCTCTTTCTCTTTCTTTCTTTCTTTTCCCTCCCTCCCTCCCTCCCTCCCTCCCTCTCTACCTCCCTCCCTCCCTCCCTCCCTCCCTCCCTCCCTCCCTCCCTTCCTTCCTTCTCTCTTTCTTTTTTTTTTTGGGTCCGGTTGTGGGGCCTGAACTCTGGGCCTGGGCGCTGTCCCTCAGCTCTTCAGCTCAAGGCCAGCACTCTACCACTTGAGCCACAGCGCCACTTCCGGCTTTTTTCTTTTTGCTTATGTGGTGCCTCAGGCATGCAAAGCAAGTGCTCTACCACTGAGTCACCTTCCCAGCCCCATCTATTGGCCATTCTTATTTCCTCTTAAAGAAAAGTCTTTAGCCCACTTATTAATCGGGCGGTTGTTTCTTTGAGGATTTGTTGTTGGGGGATTTAATTTTTTGAGTTTTAAGTATATTTTAGATATGAGACCCTTGTCAGTTGTATGACTAGTGAAGATCTTCTCCCAATCCATGGGCTTTCTATTGATTGCTATGTCTTTTGCCATGCAGAAGCTCTGCAGTTTCATGCAATCCCATTTGTCCAATCTTTGATTTGTTGTGTTTCTGGGTGCTTATTAAGAAAATTTTGGCCTGTGCCAAGGAGCCCTAGAGTTTCTCTTATTCCTTCCTGTAATGTTTTCAGGGTGTCTGCTTAGACTCGGAGGTCTTTGATCCATTTGGAGTTGATTCTGGTGTAGGGTGATATATGGGGATCTACCATAGCCTGCATCACTCATTTGGTGTTACATGCTGTCTTGAGATGTTTCTTGCCTTTTTTTACTCCCACTTGGAGTTTGTTTGTTTTTTTCCCTGCAGCTATTTCCAAGTATGGGAATGCAGAGTCAGCCCTTAGGCAACAGCTGGAATCCTATGATATTCTTTTATTATTATTATTATTATAAAAATCTATGATATTCTTTGAGGCGGTAGGAAATACCACTTCAGGGCCATTTGTGCTGCTAAACAATATCTATTAAGCTGGGGAAAGTTAAATTAATTTTAGCAATGGAAATTGTGTTACGCTTATTTGTGTTTCAGAGGAGAATCTGGAGTTTTCCTTTCCTTTTTACTTTAAGTAATTTTGGAGTCTTTTGAGAGTAATATAGTATGAATAAATAGCCAAATTATACTCAAAACTTCTAATGAAAAAAAAATCCCAGACATATTCATTCCTTCCTCTCATAAATTCCCTTTCTCCAATGACAACCACTTTTGGCTCCTTTATGTATTTCTTCTGGTTTTTAACTTTGGATTTCAATATAATAAAATCAATTTATTCTCACTAGTGATGTGTAGTATTTAGGAAGTACCAACTAGGTGCTAGACTTTCTCTCTTTTTCTTCCTTTATTTTTGTGGTACTGGAAATTGAACTCTAAGGTCTTATGCTTGCTAGACAGGCACTCTACCATTAACCATGGTTCCAGACTCTAGGTACTATTTTAAATATTTTGAAGGCATTTACTCATTTAATCTCAACAACCTCCTGTTTATTTATTTGTTTGATTTTTTAAAAAATTATTATTATTTTTAATTGTGAAAATAACAAACAGAGGGGTTACAATTACATGGGCAAGATGATGAGTACATTTCTTATCAAGCATTGTATTTGTTTGAATTTTGGGACATGGTCTTGCTGTATAGCCAGGGGTAGCCTCAAACTCACTATGTAGTCAGGCAGAAGCAGGATTTATTATTGCCTGTTTTTTACAGATGATATTTAGGCATAGAAAAGTTAAACAGTTTTATCCAAACTCATCATTACCAGGTGTTTGAACTAGGTAGTTTGGCTTCTGAATCTGGGCTCATACCTTACTAATTTGATTTTTTAAAAATCAGTTTTTAAGAATTGTCTATTAAACCTGTTGCATGGGATATGAGCATTTATTTTCTCACAATTTCATGCTGGCTTCCCCTTCCTCACAACTTTTTGTTTGCCCTAGAGATGATAACTGTTTTTTGTTTGTTTGTTCATGTGTTTAGTTTTCTAAGTACCAAACCTATTTGAAAACAGTAAAACCTCTTACAGTCCTGTTTTTCACAGGGTCAAATGTATTAGCTATACTATTTTCTTGGAGACCTGAAACTAGGATTTTTTTTACTTCTTTTTCTTTTTTTTGGCCAGTCCTGGGGCTTGAACTCAGGGCCAGAGCACTCTCCCTGAGCTTCTTTTGCTCTACCATTGAGCCACAGTGCCACTTCTGGCTTTTTCTGTTTATGTGGTACTGAGGAATCAAACCCAGGACTTCGTGCATGGTAGGCAAGTACTCTACTACTATGACACATTCCCAGACCTAGGATTTTTTTTTAAGTCAAGTTTGTGAAGGTATAATTACATACAGTAAATTCACAATTCACCTTTTTTGCCACTGTTGACTGTTGGTTAGGGCCTGTAATTCTGAGATCTAAGGATCAAGGTTTGAAGGCAGCCATGCAGACAAATCAAATACAGAAGACTTTTATCTTCAGTTAACTAGCGAAATGCCAGAAGTGGAGGTGTTTCTCAAACATAGAGAACCAGCCTTGAGCAGAAAAAGCCAAATGCCAATACCAGGCCCTAAGTTCAAGCCCCAGTACTATCTCTCTCTCACACACACACACAAAATCACCTCTTTTTTTAGGTATCATATTTCTTAGAATTTTGATAGAATATATAGGATAAAATATATCCTTTATTCCAAAAGGCCTCTCATACCCTTTTATAGTCAGTCCCTGCTTTCCACCTTAGCTCAGGCAACTACTTAAGAGTTTTGCTTTTTCCAGAATGTTATGTAAATTGGGGCATAGAATATGGAACCTTTTGTGTCTAGTCTCAAGCCTTTCCTGTTAATATGGAATAAAGGTGGTAATTGTTATAGATGATATCACGGCAGTGCCACACAATGAGCTAAAGAATTTCTTCCAGTTATCTCACTCATGTTTCACATAAATAGGACTGCAGTTCTTTCTGCAAAGTATATGACTTTAAAGAATATAATTGAACATCAAGTTAAAGTGTTATACACCTAGAAAACTCTTAGGAAAAACAGAGCTCATGTTTTGTTTCAACTTATCTCCTTTTTTTTCGTTGTATATTAAAGAACCTAAAAAGCTGTTTGTTTCTTTACCTACTTAATGTATGGACTCCCTGACAGAGCGAAATACTTCTTTACTTCCCTTCCCATGCTTTGCACAAGGGTTGGTACATGAGTTGGTTCAAAATATTTGTTGAATAAACTTGCAGATAGCTCAGGTGTGTGGGAGAAAGAGTTAAACTGAGGAGTTTGGGTAGACAGGGAGACATAGGAGGAGACTAGACAAAGGCAAGAGCATCCAACCTGCTCCTCTTCCTGCAGCCCAGTGTTTCCCGGGCTCTTTGAGTTCTGCAGCCGTTACACAGGTGCATCCCTGCAAGGAGCAACCCAACTGAACAACAAGGTGAGGGAGCCTGACTCCTGGTTCTCATGGGCACCCAGCTTGATGGGTGGCAGGAAGAGGACTATGAGTTAGGTGTTTGTCTTTTCAGATCTGTGACATTGCAATAAACTGGGCTGGTGGTCTGCACCACGCCAAGAAGTTTGAGGTGAGTATTGGGGGAGGCAGTGACTCCCCTAGGTAGGAAATTAGTATGACAGTAGGGGACAGATTGGTGGGTAGGAGAATTGTTCCTCTATTCCTGAAACATTGTCTTGTTGTAGGCCTCTGGCTTCTGCTACGTCAATGACATTGTAATCGGCATCCTGGAGCTGCTCAAGTAAGTAGCCCAGGAGGAGGTGGGGGTACTTGTGAGATTCAGCCTGGCTTCCTCCCCTCCTCACTGATGCTTTTCTTAGATAGCCTCTTTCTCTGCTCTGCTGCAGATTCCCTGCTGCCTGCTCACATTTCAGCATGCTCACACTTCCCTCTCCTGCCCCTGTCTCTAGTCTTCAGGGCTACCCTTAGGAAACTGGTGGGATTAGGTTTCAGGTGACTTGGCCAGAAGCAGGCTTTAAATAATTCCAGACCCTGAGTGAGTTGTGTGGGGGGCTCTTCCTCTAACTCAGACCTTGGCTTTGTCCTCGCCCTAGGTACCACCCTCGAGTACTCTACATTGATATCGACATACACCATGGTGATGGCGTTCAGGAAGCCTTCTACCTCACTGACCGAGTGATGACTGTGTCCTTCCACAAATATGGAAATTACTTCTTCCCTGGCACTGGTAGGAAATGGGGATTGTTGTCCTTCAGATTTCTTTTTTTTTTTTTTTTGATTCAGAGTCTCTCTATGTAGTCCAATATTCAAACGTACTATTTTTTTCAAACGTATTGCCTCACTTTCCCAAGCATATATCACCGTGCTTGGCTACACCCTTCAGCTCTTTACCATGACTGACTTCTTTCTGACTTGAACTCTTACGCCCTCTCCTTAGAGAAACCTTTCTGTCCATTCCAGCTATCATAATCATCTCCTTTCCCTTTTTTTTTTTTTGAATTTCATTTTTTATTTTCTAACTTTTTTTTGGGTCCGGTTGTGGGGCCTGAACTCTGGGCCTGAGCGCTGTTCCTCAGCTCTTCAGCTCAAGGCTAGCACTCTACTACTTGAGCCACAGCGCCACTTCCAGCTTTTTTATTTTTTCTGCTTATGTGGTGCTGAGGAATCGAACCCAGGGCCTCATGCATGCAAGGCAAGCGCTCTACCACTGAGCCACCTTCCCAGCCCTTATTTTCTAACTTTTGGCCTATACTTTGACTATGTAAAAAAATGGTCATCTCACACTCTTTTTGCAAATCTCATCTCTCATGGGAAGATGACAAAGCTTGATATCTTATAAACAAGCTAGACAACATGAATACAAACCTCATGCTAGATATCTTATAAACAAGCTAGACAACATGAATACAAACCTCATTCTGAGCCGACCACAATTTAATGGAAGATGAAAATGTTCAAAGCCCAGGCCCCACATAGTTTATTATTCGCAAATTCTTACAAGCTTCCATCCAGCCTCATTGTGGCCAGTGTATGGATGGGTAACGGCCCCTTTCTGAAAGCAGATAAGCAGGATATTGCCAGAGTTGCTTTCTTAGACAAAGCTACATTATCACAATGCAGCCATTATGTGTAACAGCCACAACCTGGGCTGTCCATTGGGCTGATCTCTCATCTTGCAAGGAGTAGATGTCGATTATTGCCTTGTTGGACAGGGAGCGAGAGCAGAAAAAAAACAGGATGAGTCAAGTCCAGCTTGGGAAGTTTCTAGAGTTAGAGATTTCTCCCTTTCCTTTCTGATCCCCAGGTAAAGATGAGGGTCCTTCCCCATTTTTGTATGACCTCACCCTGTCTGTTTCTCCCAGAGCACTCAAGCACTGGCTGTTAGTTATATTTATTATGCTTTGTTTTTTCTTACTGTCTCCTTTCTCATCATATTAATCCCCCAAAGTATGAGCTTGGTAAGATTTCATTAATTTCATTAGTTTTCTCCATTGCTATATTACCTGTGTCTACTACACATGTGAGCGGGTGGTATGGCATCAAAAAGTATTTGTAGAGTCAGGTGTGGTGGAACATAACTATAATCTTAGCACTTGGGAAGCTGAGGCAGGTAGATTGAGTGTTTGAGGCCAACCTGGGCAGCATATTGAGTTCTGGACCAGCCTAAGTTACATAGCAAAACCCTGTTTCAAAAAAAAAATTGTTTTGTATGTTATTGAAGAAACACAAGTTGAGAGAGACTGAGTAGCTCTATAGAGGCTGTGGTAGAGTCCTTAGACGGGGCAGCTGGGTTGTAGGAGTCTCCCTTTCATAGTCATTGCCCCTACCCTCATAGGTGACATGTATGAAGTTGGAGCAGAGAGTGGCCGCTACTACTGTCTCAATGTGCCCTTACGGGATGGCATTGATGACCAGAGTAAGTACTGACATTTTCTCCCTGCTCTCATACCCTGGCACTTCCATCTTGCTTTTTTTTCTTCCCTCCCTCCCTCCCTCCCTTGCTCCCTCCTTCCCTCTCTCTCCCTCCCTCCCTCCTTTCCTTCCTTCCTTCCTTGCTCCCTTCTTCCTTCCTCCCTTCCTCTCTTCCTTGCTTCCTTCCTCCCTTCCTTCTTTCCTTGTGACTGGATTATCTACTGTTGAGCCATGTGTCTTAGGATGAATGGCTAAACAATTGTGAGGTCCTGGAAATTGTGTACCATATAACATGTCTATGTGCATTTTTCTGGGAAGGGGATTTTCCTTCGTCACTCATAGCAGTGTGAGAATCCTCTATAAGTTCAGAACCAGCTTTGTGTTTCTGTGGGTTTCCTTTTTCCTGGGCTACATACTCTCTCAGCCCCTTTTTTCTTTTGTTCCCTGTCTCCCCATCCCCTTGGGGTGCCAGGTGCCCATCTTTGGCCCTCTCCCAGGTTACAAGCACCTTTTCCAGCCAGTCATCAACCAGGTGGTGGACTTCTATCAACCCACATGTATTGTGCTCCAGGTAATACTGTCAGTCTCTCCCTGAGAGGGCTTCCCTGGGCTTGGAAAAAAAAGAGTAGGGAAGAGAGCTTTTCCAGGTTGCTGATGTCCTTGGTGTTCTGTTCAGTTGTTTTACTGCAGCTGCCTGATGTTTTGCTTTTTGCAGTGTGGAGCTGACTCTCTGGGCTGTGATCGATTGGGCTGCTTTAATCTCAGCATACGGGGACATGGGTGAGACTTGCTCTCCTTGCTCTTCCCAGATTTTCAAGTAGCCTTGTACTTTGGTTAATGGAACGGGGGTATTTGTGAAAGGTACCTCACCTCTTCTTGGAAATATGGCTACAAATTCTGCTTTGAACTAGGGTTCCCTAGATTGTCATCATTTGCATAAGAATCCATTGAATATGTCAGTAATTCCTATTATGTTCCAGGTATTGTTACACTAGGTGTTTACAGTTTAGTGTAGGAAGCAGACACAAAATCAGTAAGCAAGAGAGATAAATAGATAGTAGAAATCCTATGAAGGAAAAAACCCAGAAAGCTGAGATATAGGTTAACAGTGGGGAATCTATATTAGATAGCATGATTTGGAAAGGGTTTTCTGAAGAGGTGAAACAGAAGCTGAGAGTTGGAGGCTAAGAAGGAGCAAGCCATAAAAGACTCAGAAGAAGCCTGTCCCAAGCAGTGACTAGGGCCCATGGGAAGAGGTGGTGTCTTGAAGAAATGAGATCAATGAGGCCAGAATGTAGGAGCCCGCTTGAAATGATTTGTTGTGAGGTCCTCAGAACTGACCATACTGAGATTTACAGAGAGCTTCAGAGCTTGGTAAAGAGTGTGAATTATATTCCATAGATGATGGGAAGCTGTTCAGGGATTTTGAGCAAGAAACTGACATGATCCCACGTGGTTTTAAGTGACTTTTGTGACTGCTGGAGTGGAGAAAGGCCTGAGGTGGAAATGAGGGGGACAGGATGGCTTCACATAGGTAGACCAGTTTGGAGTCCTTGATATTATCTGGGCAGGAGATGTGTCTAGACTACAGTAGAGGAGAGGGTGATGGATAAAAATAGGGATTTTTATTCTGAAGACTAGAAATAACAGATTGGAGAAGGGCCAGGGAGTGTGTTGAGCAGAACTGAAAGTCAGGGTGCACTTTATCTTAAAATTTTTATTGAGACACAAAATATTAAATTACACAAATCTTAAGGGTACCACTTAATGTAGTTAACCTTGCCTTCTTTTCTAAACAATACCTATATACCTTGTTCCACTCATTCCTCTGGGTCCTTTTAACAGGGAATGTGTTGAATATGTCAAGAGCTTTAATATTCCTCTACTGGTGCTGGGTGGTGGCGGCTATACTGTCCGAAATGTTGCTCGCTGCTGGTGAGTATGCTCCCTTCATTGTCATTGTGGCCTCCCTGAGATTGGCCGGGGAAAGCGGGGGCATTAGCCCACATAGTCAGCCTACCCATTCTGCTTGTTGGTTTCAGGACCTATGAGACATCACTGCTGGTAGAAGAGGCCATTAGTGAGGAGCTTCCCTACAGTGGTAAGGACCACCCCACAGCAGGAAGGCCCTTCTCATCAGCTTTCAAAATGACCCCATTTCAAGGCAACATAGGACATTTTATCTACCAGAGCTCTTTAGACTAAACTCTTGAGGCTCAGAGCAGAGCAAAAATTGGGCAGCTGTTTTACAGGGGATCCAGATAGAGAAAGAGATTGGAAAGTCTTGGGGACTGCCTCTGTTGTTCTACATCATACTTTCTGGCTCATCCTCTTACTTCTTCCCTGCTTCAAGAATATTTCGAGTACTTTGCCCCGGACTTCACACTTCATCCAGACGTCAGTACCCGTATTGAGAACCAGAACTCACGTCAGGTCAGCAGCATTGAGGAGCTGGGCACAAGGATGTGGGAGCTCAGGAGGGGTCCAGGATATATGAAGCAGGAGAAACCAAAGAAAAGGGCTAGGAAGTAGAGGTGTGGCTCAAGTGGTATAGTGCCAGTCTTGAGAGAAAAAGCAAATAAACAAGAGTGTGTTACCCTGAGTTCAAGCCTTAGTACTGGCACAAAAAAAGAGAAGGCCTAGGAAGTAGCCCAGGATAAAGTAGATGCAGTTGGGATGGATGGGGAGAGACTGTTGTCAGCTGGAGGACAAACTAGGATAGTTGGGCTGAATGATGTAATCTATGAGTGTAATCTCAGCTACTTGGGAGGGACAGATGGGGAGGATTGTGGTTTAAGGCCAGTTTGAGCAAGGAGTTAGCAAAAGTCTATCTTAGCCAACAAACTTGAGTATGCATGTAATTTCAGCTATGCAGAAAGCAGAAGTAGGAGGATCATGGGTTGAGGCTGGCCCAGGCAAAATCATGAGATCCTATCTGACAACAGAAGTATGAGATAGAACATGGTTTAAGTGGTATCACACTTAGCTTACAAGTATAAAGAAGGCCCTGAATTCCAATCCTAGTACCACCAAAAAATTAAATATACTAACTAAATAAGCAAGGATGGTAGGGATGGAAGGAAACTAAAAGGGTGATGACCTGAAAATAACTATTCACTATCTCTGTTCCTCATCTCCATCCAGTACCTGGATCAAATCCGCCAGACAATCTTTGAAAACCTGAAGATGCTAAACCATGCACCTAGTGTCCAGATTCATGATGTACCTGCAGACCTCCTGACTTATGAAAGGACTGATGAGGCTGACGCAGAGGAGAGGGGTCCAGAAGAGAACTACAGCAGGTCTGGGGCAGGGACTTGAGCAGGTGGTGGCAGCAGGCTTTCTGGGGGAAACTTAAAAGGAAAAAAGCAAGTTGGAGGGCACTAGTTTACTTACCCCTGGATTACCTTCTTAAGGCTGCCACGAGTTTCCCACTCCCTTAGGCTGTTTTTAATGATAGAACTATTGTAAAAATTATAAACAGCATCAAAATATGTTGTTTGCTTTCATATAGTCTCAGACCCATTTCACAAAGTAACCACTACTAATAATTTGATTTATATCTTTTCAGAAAGGCCTTTTTCTATAGATTACAAATATTACTTCTACATTACTATACACATACATGTTCAATGTTTGTTGTTTGTGTTTGTGTTAATACAAGGAAGGACATTCTGTACATGTTTTTACAACTTACATTTTCTCTTTTTTAATAAGATATATCTTTCCATCTCTCTTTCCCTTTCTTTCTCACTCTCTCCCTAAAGAGGCTTAAGCATTTTATCAGCTGCATAATATTCCATTATATAATTACAACATATTTTAACCAGTTACCATCTATGGACATTTGCATTCATTTCCCCCCCCTCCTTTTTTTTCCTATTATAGTAATAAAGAATGTGGCAATTAACCCTCTTACAAATTCATCCTTACATGCTTGTTTGAGTGGATTACATTCCTAGAATTATTGCTGCTAGATCAAAGGCTGTTTGCAATAAGAAGTTCTTACATTTCCCGCCAAATTGCCTTCTAAGAAGTCTGGGGGTAGTTTCCATTCTTGTCACCATCTTTGTCCTGGGTCTGAGCTGAACAGGTCACTGCCCATGCCCATGGATGAGGCTCTGGTTGATTGTTCTGCTCTGCTCACTATTTCAGGTTTGAGAGCTGTACAGTGGTTATGTTTTTCAAAAAAGCCTTTATTTTCTAAGATACCTACTGGAAATATGAAATGAATTAGGAGGAAACCAAGACTAGCATGATTTTAAAAAAAAAAATTCCAAAGCTTTTCTGGAAAATGAAGAGCAAGTAACAGAACATAGTGTGGAAACGTATAGTAGAGAACGGATTTCCTTCCTTGACTGAGAGACAAGCTGAACTGGACTCTTGCAGAACACTAATCCTGCTCCTGTGTTGGAAGTGGCGCTGCTGCACTGATAGGCTTCTTAGCTCCTTCTAGCATTTGCTGTGGGTCTCACAGTTTTGGGCTCTGTCTCTTTCCTCTGGACTTGGACTTGATTGCTATAATTTCTCTCTATGAACACTTGTTATTTCCTGGCCTCAGGGATGCCTTTTGAGCCATGTCTCCTTCTCAGCTTCTCCAGGTATCTAAAGCTTGATTTTTGGAAATTGATTTTTACCATCTGGTTTGGCTTGGCAAAACCTACCTATAAGTTGGTTTTGATGTTTGGCTTTTTCATCAATAGTCCTAGACTAACATCTGGGCCAAACTCTACCTTGACCCACACCCTTTAGCCTGTAGCCAGCAGACACCTCAGGCTTCTTCCTGTTCCCCAGCCCTACCTCACTGTCTGGCCATTATCTGAGTTCCTGTTCTTCTTTGATGCCTGTAGCTTAGCTTGCATAAGCAGACTTGCAGCTGGGCAATACTAGGAAAGTTGAAATCTGGAGGATCTTGGACCCTGGCTAGTTTGGGCAGAAAGTATGCTTGATTCCATCTCAAAATAACCAGCCAAAAAAGCAGGGCTGGAGATGGGGATCAAATAGCACTAGCATAGCAAGTGCAAGGCTTTGAGTCTGAACCACAATAAAGAGGTGTGTGTGTGTGTGTGTGTGTGTGTGTGTGTGTGTGTGTGTGTGTGTGTGTGTGTGTGTGTGTGTGTGTGTGTGTGTGTGTGTGTGTGTGTGTGTGTGTGTGTGTGTGTGCCTGGAGCTTTAACTTAGGCCTGGGCGGGGATCGAATAGCACTAGCATAGCAAGTGCAAGGCTTTGAGTCTGAACCACAATAAAGAGAGGTGTGTGTGTGTGTGTGTGTGTGTGTGTGTGTGTGTGTGTGTGTGTGTGTGTGTGTGTGTGTGTGTGTGTGTGTGCCTGGAGCTTTAACTTAGGCCTGGGCGGGGATCGAATAGCACTAGCATAGCAAGTGCAAGGCTTTGAGTCTGAACCACAATAAAGAGAGGTGTGTGTGTGTGTGTGTGTGTGTGTGTGTGTGTGTGTGTGTGTGTGTGTGTGTGTGTGTGTGTGTGTGTGTGTGTGTGTGTGTGTGTGTGTGTGTGCCTGGAGCTTTAACTTAGGCCTGGGCACTGTCTCTGAACTTTATTGCTCAAAGCTAGTGCTCTACCACTTGAGCCACAGCTCTACTTCCAACTTTTTGGTAGTTTCTGCAGCCTTCTGAGCTGATTACAGGTGTGAGTCACCAGCACTAGGTTTAACAGTGGCTACTTTTGCCCGTTTGCCAAGCACCAGTTTAAGTGTTTGATGTTATGACATGCATATCATTATGTCACCATTCTTTTGCCATCAGACAACTCCGTGGGGTGGGTTTTATCTTCAAATGACCAGAGGAGGAATCTACTCAGAGGTTAAGTAACTTTCCTAGGGTCAGGACTGAGATTCAAACCTGAGTATCTGATTCCCACCTTTTCCCCTTGTTTACTGAGAGGTAACAGACTTGACTCACGTGCGCAGGGTTTTCCCTGACTTTCTCAGTTTCCTTGGTGACTTTCTCAATTCTCCCTTTAGAGAAGCTTTTCAAAAGGAAGGAAATGAACATTGAATACTCACGGAATCCATGTTGCTTTCACATCTGGTCTCTTTCTACAGATTGATCATATGTTGGTCCTCTGCTTAAAACCCTTTCTTTCTCTTGTACTTAACAGAAATCCCATTTCTGTGGCTTACAAAGGCCCTGCATGCTAGTCCATCCGCCCATCCCTGATCTTATCTGAAATCACTTTCCTCCATGCACATGGCTTCTAGCCACCCTGACCTTGTCTTTCTGGAACACAACAGTTTCCTCTTACCTTATGATTTCCATGCTTGGAATAGTTTTCTAAGGCCTTTCCTGCCCAGCTTCTGCTGTGCTGTTGCTGCTGCTGCTGCTGCTGCTCCTCCTCCTCCTCCTTCTTTTTCTTCTAGTTCTTTTGTCGGTTGTGGGGCCTAAACTCTAGGCCTGGCACTGTCCCTCAACTCTTTAGCTCAAGGTTAGCACTCTACCACTTGAGCCACAGTACAACTTCTGGCTTTTTCTGCTTATGTGGTGCTGAGGAATTGAACCTAGGGCCTCATGCATGCAAGGCAAGCACTCTTCCACTGAGCCACCTTCCCAACCCTCCCCAGCTTCTTCTCACACTTTAGATCTATCATTCTTTTTAAAAATTTATTATATTTTATCATCTTTAAGTAGTTATACAAAGGAATTACAATTCAGTCTGTCAGTTTATAAGTACAGCACATCCTTATCAGTATTATCCCTTCCATCATTCTCCCTCAAAGGCCTACATTATTTGAACACCCTTCACCTCAGATCACTTTCTGTCATGTCCCTTAATTTCATTCTGTTCATACAACTCTCTGAAGTTTTATTTATTTATTTTTTGTTTTTTTTGGGGGGGGGGGTCCAGTCATGGGGCCTGAACTCTGGGCCTGGGCACTGTCCCTTAGCTCTTCAGCTCAAGGCTAGCGCTCTACCACTTGAGCCACAGCGCCACTTCTGGCTTTTTTCTTTTTGCTTATGTGGTGTTGAGGAATCGAACCCAGGGCCTCATGCATGCAAGGCAAGCGCTCTACCACTGAGCCACCTTCCCACCCCTAACTCTCTGAAGTTTTAAGACTGGAGGCATGGCTCATTGGTAAAGTTTCTTGCCTACCAAGGAGTTTAAACTAGTACTGAGGTGTGGGGACAGGGGAGTTAAGTATATTTGTTTATTTGCTTTGTTAGCATTAGTCTCATTTATTTGGTAAGCTTCTGAGGACAAATAGAAATCTTGACTGGCTGATTCTCCAGTGTATTGCTAAGGCTAGTCTCCACAAATGTTTTCTGAACATGTGAATGGATGAAAGCATAGCCATTGGTCTCAACAGCAGGAGATGAATGAGTCCCTGACAGAGAGAACCCAAGAAATGGCTCTGGAGAGGGAAGATGCTGGGAGAAGACTAGAACTTGGAAAGCGAGTTCCCAATCTCTCCTCTTTTGCAGGCCTGAGGCACCCAATGAATTCTATGATGGAGATCATGACAACGACAAGGAAAGCGATGTGGAAATTTAAGAACAGCTTTGTTCCAAGGAATTCCTTTTCACGTCTGGATTGGGTGGGAGAGAAGGATATGGGTCCTTCACTCCTGGACTGGTTACCTCCAGAACTTTTACTAATTTGGGGGAAGGATTTGGAGACCTCATGTGTTTTTAGAACCATCTATACCCCATTTCCTCTATCATAGCCTGACCATGGTACCTTTTATGAGTGGGATGGGACTAGGATAGATGTCTCTGGGGAATTATGGGCAGTGAGCACTAGAGGACATTTCCCAGATCTCTGGCCCCTTATTTTTTCTGTTTACCTCCAACCCTGAGACTTGGAGATGAAAAAGTAGACAAGACTGAGATTGCCTCTGACATCTTCTCTTGGGTAATCTCACTGCAGGCCTTGCTTCCAAAACACCTAGAGTGAAGGTTTTGGAGGACCTTGACTCCTAACTCCTTAACTCCTGGTGATTAAAAGTATAATTTCAAGTAAGGGGAAATGTCCTGTAAAAATGTCCTGTTCTACTTTTTGGCTTTGTGTTCATTTTACCACTGTTTTTATCCAATAAACCAAGTTGGTATTTTTTTATACATATCTGTGAGTATTCTTGTCAGTTACCTATGTGTAAAGTGAGAGGGAAATAGGGATGATAATACACATATTAAAAATAATAAGGTACCATTTATTCAGTACCCTATGTTAGACTCTGTGTATATATTCTACATGAATTATTTTACTCACATATAAGGAGTTAATAGAGCATTCTGCTTAAGAGTTAGATAAACATGGGCATACTACTGGCTTAAGAGGAAGATGACTTCAGAACTTGAAAATAGGTTTCGGGTATGATGATGCTAATTAGTAGATATATGGTGAGTGTTTAGCATAGTGCCAGATAGAAAAATGTTTATTGTGTCTTTGTGAAGAACAATGCTGGATACTGTTATGAACATGGGCCCTTCCCTTGGAGGAGTTTATAATCATAATAAATGTAGATGTTGACTGTGGTACAAGAAAAAGGAATGATAAATGGGTTACTCCTTCCAATCTTTCTTTCAAATACTATTTTAGAAAGTAATTTTTTAAAAACTGTTATGGACAAACTGAGTTTCAAGTGTAGGTGGACAGTACGGTGTAACTTGCTATTAGGCTATTCGAAGGTCTTGGACACAGGGGGATGGACAGCCTTAGGAGTCACCAGGGTCTACATTAAGCACAGGGAACCCAGTAAATCACTGATCCCGCCACAGATGTCCACTTGATCTTTTGCCAGCTTTAGTCAAGATTATTCAGTCCATCCTGGGATTGCTAGGTGCTACATTGTTTCCACACAGGAGAACACATGTAGCCAGCAGATTAGATGAAATTGTTGAGATCAAGCTAAACAGAAATTTACTCTTGGAGAACCCATTCTTTTCAGGCATGTTTGGCTTATGCCAGTGGGGAATCCTTATTAAACAGAGTTTGTGTCAATTATGTATCCTTGGGCAGGTTACTTCCACTTTCAGAGTCAGAAACTTTTATCTGTAAAATTGTGGGCGGGGTGCAATTTATCACAGGAGATTGTGAGGATTCATGTGCCAGAGTTTTAGATGGCCTAGCCTAGAGTGTGTGGTAACATATGCTAAGTGGTTACTGTTGTTTCAAACTGTTGTCAATAATTAGTTTATCCATTTAGAATCATACTAGAAAGTGATCCAGGACTCAGAACTGAGCAGTGTAACTCCAGAGCTAGTTTGGAATCTAGCACTTGACCTGCACAAAAGCTCTGTTCTTGACACATAGCTTTCAATACACAGTAGCTGTCTGCTTTTAATGTTGTTTCATGTGCTCACTTCACAGATCCATTGCACACGTGAAAACTGCCTTATTCCCAGAAATCTCAGCTCTCAGTTTTATACCAGAATAATGGTCTCATTTATGCGAATTTCGGTTCAGATAACATCCTGTACTGTGAGGTCTAAGCTTTACAGCCACGTGGGCGCTGCATACGAGCAGAGCCTGTGCAGCACCAACCGCCAGGGGGCGCGCCTCGCTGTCGCGGCCTGGGCGAGCTGCACCGCCCACTCTCCACCCCCCCACGTGGGTGCTAATGGTTAGGCCCGCCGGGCAGGTAGCGCGCTTCCGCGGCTTCCCTCCACCCCTCTCCCTTCCCCCATTGGTAGGGGCGGCGGGTCCGGGCGGAAGTGGGGCAGGCGGGCGGGAGCGAGGCGTCACCGTTGTATATTCATGAGGCGCGCGCAGCTCGGCATGCTAATAAGGCGGGGCGCGGCGACAGGCTAAGAAGCTGCTGGGCGGCGGCAGCGGCGGGCGCGGAGCAGCTAGGCGGGAGCCGGGCGTCGTAGACACTGGGTCGCTGGCAAGACCGAACCGAGACATGGAGCCGCCCGGCCGCGGGACCCGGGATAAGAAGAAGGGTCGGAGCCCGGATGAGCTGCCTGCGACGGGCGGCGACGGTGGCAAATCCAAGAAATTTGTGAGTGTCCCTCCCACCCGTCCCCCTCAGCCCGGCCGGGCGGCCGCCCCCGGGACTGCGGAGACCCTCGCAGCCCGTCCCGGCGGGGGGGCGCGCGTCGGAGCCGTGGGAACCGCCCCCGCGCCTCCCTCCTGGTTTTGCTGGGTTCTCGGCTCCGCAGCCCGACATCCTCCCCTCCCGGCAGCCCCGGGATCCCACCTGGCCCCGACCCCCGCAGCCTGTGGGCTTTCCTCACTTCCCAGACCGCACGCGGTGCCCCCCACTCCACGGCCTCTCGGGCTCTCAGTCCCCCTTCCTTTCTTCTGCCTCCACTACCCACACACACACACACACACACACCTCTTTCTGGTTCCCCGTGTCCATGTTTAATGTCCTCAGCCATAACTCCTTTTTGGGTTTCTCATTTCCTTGACTTAAAAGGTCACTTCCTCATGCTCGATCCGTTTCACCTGCTAACTTTCCTCCCGCCCCGTCCTCTTGTGGGCTCTCAGCCGGGGTGTCACCTGATAATCCTTCCCCTCAGGAATGTTACCTGACTTGGGCCCTAACTTCCCTTTCTCCCTAGGACATTTGTCCTTGCGATTACCAGGATGGGTTCCTGCCCAGCTCCTGTAGCCATTGGAGCAGGACAGCAGTCCCATCGACTTCCCATCTTTCCTCTGTCTAGAAAAGCTGTCTCTTTGCCCTGTTGCTTATCAATTTTCAGAGGGGTAGAACTCTCCTGATTATGCCCTTCGTGACCCATATGATAAACCTCCCCAGTGGGGAGGAAGTTAAACTTCAAGTCCAAGAAGTTTGTGAGTAATTGAATTGCTTTTTGTGTATTTCCTATGATAACCATCTTAACTCTTCTTCTGCAACCTTTTGGGCCCCAGGCTACTGGCATCCCTTTCCTGCAAGAGTAGTTTTTCTCAGGTGCCAAATTACTTCCTATCCTGATTTAAATGAATATTGACATTTACGTAACTTTCTTATATTTTATATTACCTGTTGCCCATCCTGATCATCTTTCTCCTCTCTCCAGGGAGCTATTTGCTGGCTTTGTACTATCAAAGCTTTGAAAGATACTGAGCACTGCCCAAGAGAGAAAGGCTTGGTCTTAATCATTGCTAGTTAGTAACTTAGTTATTTACTTAGTCTACTCTTCCAAGTGCTTATACCCCAATCCTACTATCTCATTGTACTGACCAAATAGCTTGTAATGCTTCCCTCTTGATTTCTCTCAGCCTCCCTTCCCCATTATTCTGACCCAGCTCCACAAGTTTGGTTAGAAAATGGTAAGTGATGGAAACAGGAAGAAAGTGTTTTGTGACCTGGATGATTGGGATGTGGAGCACTTTAAACAGAATTAAAATAGTGACTCATATCTTCCTACCTATTTTGAGCAAGACCAGGTGTTCTTGGACTGTCAATTCTGGTGACGTACAGGCTGTCAGTAACTGATTTTTATCTAGTGAACACCTTTCTTTCTAGAAATACAGGGTTAATAGTAATAACACTTCCTCCTTGATGACATTTTCCTAGGTTGTTTGGGATAAAAACGCTTTGGTTAAGAGAGCTTTCCTTCCAAAGCTTAAGTTCCTGGTGCCTATATATTCTTTCTACTTATGTATCTTTTTGTTTTGATTTTGTTTCTATGGCTACTGTTTGGCCTCTTTCATCGAAACTCCTGCCGTTTTGTAATGACCTTTATGACTTGTAAATGTTTTTTCAAGTACTTAGTAGAATTTTATATATGCCTTTTATTTAATCCTAGCATGTGTGTCCTTCACAAATTTGCCAAACCTACTGTGGTGTGTGGTGCTGTAAGGTGAGAAACTTGTGGATACTCAACTTCTTTTCACCTGTTTTTTTTTTCTGGCATATCCCTGGAGCCTTGTATATGCTGAGTGGATCTGGCTCACAGTTGTTGATATTTGCTTTTGCATGGGTGGCAGGCTGAACCACGTTCTTTTTTTCTGGGTTGTTGATCTTAACCCTTACTCTGCTGAATCTTAAAAACTAGCTATTACATTACAGGTAGTGAGGAGAGAGTAGCGTCAACAGCTAGGGAATTAGGAAATTTCCAGGAGAGCACTGCTTAACCTTCTAATTGCCAAGTATAATCTACCTCAAGGCATCAGAATATTCTTTTTTATGAGAACTCTGAGGAAATGCCAGACAAGGAGCTAGGAGCATTTGTATGTATATGTGGGTGGGTGGAGTGGGTGAGATTACTGGTGTGCTTTTGTTACCCTTGGCTTAGTTTTCTTGAACTTCAGGCTGAAACCAAACTCAAAGCTCCTTCGCCTACTCCACTTCTTCTAAAGAGTCTGCCCTCTGGAATTCCATTAAGAACATACTTTAAAACTGCACTGGATTGTGCTTGAAGGTTGTTTGCGTTTGAAAGGTTGCAGTCCTTTTGCTGATGATAACTTTTTGAGCGGGTTGTTTGCAGTTGAGGTGAGGTGAGGGGCTCTTTAATTGCTACTACATACATTTCTGGGCTTACGAGGTTCTAAGTAAAGTGTAGCTGATGAAAAAGCATAGCTCATTAATTGCCCGAGATCTGTTTTAACCCTGTGAGACAAGCGTGGAAAGGAGGTGGAGTCCAAGTATACAAAGTGGTTAGGAATCACGGGGGCAGGGTTGGGTGGGGGTTGGGAGGGAGGGGAGAAGTCAGCAGGCAGACACACAAGCCTGTTCTGGGCCTTGAACTCAGGGCCTAGGTGCCGAATAGGAGTTTTTTGCTAAAGGCTAGTGCTCTACCACTTGATCCAAAAACTCCACTTCTGGCTCTTTGATGGTTAATTGGAGATAAGAATCTCATACTTTACTGCCCAGGCTCGCTTTCAACATGATCCTCGGATCTCAGCTTAAATAGCTAGGATTATAGGCATAAACTGCCTAACCTGGCTAGGAATCATCTTTTTAAAACACAAGATTGTTTGTTAGAGATGTTGACATGAATGGTGAAATCAGGCAGCCTGGTTTTCCCTTGTAGAGTGGTAGTTGTTGTTTGGCCCCTACTGGGGATTGTCCTCTACCATTTGAGACAGGTCCCAGTCCTTCTCCCTTGGTTCTTTGAGTCTGATTTCTTCGGGACTATGAAGATCTCCTTTTTCTAGCATTATTCCAGTTCCTTTCAGAATTCCTTCAGATGGAGGAAAATAAGAATTCCGACTGAACAGAGTGTTTTTTACTTAAGCAATGATGAGTGTGGGTGTCAAGTGGACTGATTTTTAAATACATATAAGGGGAGTAAGTATATTTTTGAAATATATATATATTTATATATATACATATATATATATGGGGAGGATGTTGGAAGGCTGCAGAGTATTCTTGCATTTAATAGACTCCATGCCTTTTCATACAATTGTGAAATTAATACATTCTAAGAATATTGCTTCCTGATTCAGTTAGGAGCATGACTTTGAAAAACATGAATTTTTGTGTGGGAGTTAGGGAGAATAGATATTTTTTTTAAATCTTGTTTAATTTGGATTCCTGTGTTGAATTATCATGTTTCAGTTTCACAGTTTTCTAAAGCAAAGTGATAGAGTACAAATGTTTAGTCGTGGGCCCCTGACCAGAATTAGAGCAGCAAAAGGTGAAGAATGTTGGGCAGAATTTTGAGACAATAGAAAATGCAGAGAATATGAAAGGAGTAGAATTGTTCATGTGGATTTCTGCCCATCTCCTTAAAGAAGACATTAACTTAGTGGCAGAAAACAGAAATATGCAGCAAGCTTTAAGTCATTTCTTTCTTTCCTCCTCCTCCTCCTTCTCCTTTTTGCTGATCCTGGGGCTTGAACTCAGGGCCTGGGTACTGTTCCTGAGTATGTCTGTGCTCCAGGGCTAGCATTCTACCGCTTGAGCCACAGCACCACTTCAGCTTTTTCTGTTTAAGTGGTACTGAGGAATCAAACCCAGGGCTTCATGCATGCTAGGCAAGCACTCTACCACTAAGCCACATTCCCAGCCCTAAGTCATTTCTTTTTTAAAAGAAAAACAGCGATTATTTAGTTTGGAAGGAGGGAAGGAAATCTACAAGAATGTTATTTAGGATGTTTGAGATGACAAAATGATAACATAAAATTTTCTGCCCTTCCTACCTTGAAAGAGCTTCTAGGTCCTCTTAGTTTTATGTAGTTTGCCTCAAAGAAAATTCTCTCTTTCAAAGCTAAAAATGAAGAAATGTTTGAGAATAGGGAGTTGTTAAATTTTAGGTCTTTTTTTTGGGGGGGGGGGGGTGTTGGTGCTGGTCCTGGGGCTTGGCTTGAACTTGGGACCTGGGTGCTGTCCCTAAGCATTTTCCTTCAAGGCTAGCTCTTCACCTCTTGAGCCACAGCTCACTTCCAGCTTTTTTGCTGGTTAATTGAAGAGAAGCTTCTCACAGACTTTACTGTCCTGGCTGGCTTAAAACTTTGATCCTCAATCTCAGGTTCCTGAGTAGGTAGGGTTATGGGTGTGAGCCACCAGCACCCAGCTAGTGCACTTAAAAAACAACAACAAGCTTTGACCTGTAAATTGTGCTCTAAAAGCTAAGGAAATGATTGGTGAGGCATGATTTAACTTTGTTAATGAGTACACAGGTTAGAATAATTTTGTATTCAGCATGATTGAATAAACCTTTGTTATTCCTGAGGATCCTCAGCGTTGCCTTGATTGGATTGGATTGCAAAATTACTATTATTTTTGGTTGGTTGTGGGGCCTGAACTCAGGGCCTGGGCATTGTCCCTAGGCTCTTCAGCTCAAGGCTAGCACTCTACCACTTGAGCCACAGCACTACTTCTGGCTTTTTCTGCTTATGTGGTGCTGAGGAATTGAACCCAGCCAGGGCCTTATGCATGCAAGGCAAGCACGCCACCACTGAACTACCTTCCCATCTCCTAAGTTATTTCTTATAAAGCCTTAGAAACTCAGTGGAATGTAAAAGGCTTAAAAGATAAGGTTATATGCCGCCTATGATTTAGGAGTACAGGTTAAAATCATGTGTACTAACAAATATGTATGC